AATATTACTTGCTTAAAAATGAGCGTCGTTTGCCACGTAACCAAAATGTACAAAATGATGTTTCACAAAAATTTACAGCGCCTGCGGGTTTTTGGAGGGGAATGAGGGATCCATGTTGAAGGAGCTAAAGTCTAAAAATAGAAAAACCGGGGTTGATCAATATTTTAATATTTTAAACTGGTGTGGGATTTCGCGGATGCGATTCGATTGAGCGTCAAAAAAATAGGTACTTATAGGACAAGGGGGGGCACTCACGTTTTTTATAATAAAAATGTTTTTAAATAGTTTTTCGGGCTATAAAAAATACTGATTATATTTTTCGGCCCTCTATCTTTCAAAATGGCTTTTTCAAAAAATCTCTTAGTATGTTTTTCGACGCTCTATCGATGAGCCCATCAATTTTCAGACATTTTTCTTTATTGAACACAAAATTGCCCTTACATTATCTCGGGTTGAAGCCGATTCACTTAGTATAATTTTAGACGTTCTATCGAACGGCATTCGTAAATCCCACAGTAATTTAAACTATTGTAATAAACAGTCCCTTAAATTACCATAGAATCTATTGCAAAACGTGGTAAAAAATAGTGTCGTTTCATTCGTAACCAAAATGTAAAAAAAGATGTTTCACAAAAATTTACAGCGCCTGCAGGCTTTTGGAGGGGAATGGTATCCAGACTAACTCATTAGTAAAAGGGAGCTAAAGCCTAAAAATAAAAAAAACGGTGGTTGATCGCTATTTTTAATATTTTAAACTGGTGCGCAGGATTTGGCGAATGCACTTCGATCGAGCGTCAAAAAATGGGTACACATAGGATAACGAGGGAGGTGCACTCAAACTTTTTTTATTATCAAAATGTTTTTAAATATGGTTTTTATTCTTCTTTATTCCTCTATGAATGGGCATTTGCAAAATAACGAAATATTCGAAACGTATGCCGGTTGTGGCTTAATCTTATGTTGGTATTTAAACTTGGTTAAAAATTACCGTCGTAACCAAAAGATAAAAAAAGATGTTTCACAAAAATTTACAGCGCCTACAGGCTTTTGGAGGGGGATGCGGGATCCAAGTGAAGGTCAAAGCCTAAAAATAAAAAAAAACCGTGGTTGATTGCTGTTTTTAATATTTCATACTGCTGCGGAAAAAATATTTTAAAAATTGACAACTTTAAAATTTTGACCAAAAACGGCGATTTTTTTGTCGAAAAAATGTGATTTTTGCATTTAAAATAAAATTTTGTAAAGCAATATTTGTAAAGTTAGAAGCATTCGAAAAGTCGAAATTTTGCACAAAAGCGGTCATTTTTGGTCGTAAAATGGATATTTTCGTATGTTTTAATAAATTTTTTTAAGGTTTTTACGTTTAGGAATAGTAAAAAACAGTTTACAAACACTTCCACTATTATATTTGAAAGATTCTAGAACCCCCTCCCCCGATAATGCAAAAGAACCAACACATATTAAGCGGCGAAAAAAAAATGGGGGATCGCCACCTGGAACGCGGCGCGAGCCGGAAACGAACCCTCACAAATGGGTAAGAGTTTACTTTACCCCCCCCACAGCCGAAGGGTCTCAAAGTTGTCGGTATTTCCGCTTATTTTATCGGGATTTTTGCAACGCCATTCGATAGAGCGTCGAAAAATATACTAAGAGTTTTAATTTGAGCCTACAATAATGTAAAATAAAAAAGTTATAGCCAAAAACTTCCGGCTGGGGGGGTAAAGTAAACCGTAGCCCACAAATGACAGGGCAGAGGAGAACCTGTTTTTTTATGTACGGGGGCAGGAGGTAGCAATGGCAGGCAGGCAAATAATTCACTGGGTCTGCATTAACTATACGGAAAAATACTGTTTACGGTATATCAGAGGGGAGAGAAAGAGGGAGAGAGAGAGAGAGAGAGAGAGAGAGAGAGAGCTGGTAGCAAATGGTTTGTGCTAGCTACCATCCAGGGGCAAGCGAGCAGAGATTCTTTGCGCAAGCTGGAATTTTTTTGTTAAAATAAAATGTTGCGTATTTTTAAAGGTTAAAGCTTGACCAGTGAAATATAGTAGGACTCATCCATCGCGGATACCGAATTTCCTTTAAAAAATGGCGTGAGGCGAGAGAGAGAGAGAGACCGACAGAGATAAAGAGAGCAGCAGCTACAGCAAATCAGCCCTGCAAGTTGGCTGGCGAGCAGAGATTCTTTGGGAAATCCGGCAAACGTCTTGGTTAAAATCAAATGTTGCGCATCTTCAAGCGACAAAGTCTCTTAAGTGAAATACAATTCGAACTCATCATACGCCGTGAAAATTGTAAAAATTCTCTGCTAAAATAAATGTTACAGATTTTTGGGTATACAGCTTGTCAAGCGCAAGTTGATGCGGATATCAAACGTGCGAATTAGAGAGACAGAGAGAGAGAGAGAGAGAGAGAGAGAGAGAGAGAGCGAGAGAGAAAGAGAGGGAGTGAGCAACCTCTACGGCAAAAGGCCTCAGCAAGTTGGCTAGCGAGCAGAGATTCTTTGTGGAGATTTGCATAATTTTTTGGTAAAAATAAAATGTTGCCTATTTTTAAGTGACAACGCTTCACAAGTCAAATAGAATACCGTTTTTCGCTACCTAATTTCTAAGCTGAATTTCCTGTCAATATATGGTATTGGGAGAGCGAGAGAGAGAGAGAGAGAGAGAGAGAGAGAGAGAGGACGAAGAGAAAGAGCTAGAAAATTACAATTCCCTACTCCTTGTACCGCCTAAAAAATGCACCCAGCAACCACCATGGTGCGCGCAGACGGTGGCCAGGCGAAAAATGGGCTTATAGGTGTCGCACGGACTCGGTGTTTGTGTGTGCGTATTTGTTTGCCCACCCACCGTTCATTCGGTTCTTCCTGTAGTCGCGTCCCTCTCTCTCTCTCTTTCTCTCTCTCTCTCTGGCTCTCTCTCCTCCGAAAGGCATCAGTGTTGACACGAAAATTTTTGGCCCCCGGGCACAGTTCCGCTACACACCCCTTATTCCAAAAATTGACGAAAAATTTTAGCATGGAAAAGGGATGGAGAGGGAAAGATGATTGTTAAAATGATTCATTCAGAAAAATGTAAAATTCATTTGAAGATGAAAAAAACAGCACAATCCGCTTTTTACGCCCGGATCAAATACCTGTCGTAATCGGTTTTGAACCACTCCGTTTGCCAATCTCGGTAATGTTTCACCCAGACGCTTAAATGCATTTTCAAAACCACTGCTAAAAATAAGCCGGGGCCTAACTTAGAGTAGAATTATAAAACTAAAGTCGCAGCTAAAAAAATTTTCTTAAGAACTCATTTTTTACATCAATAGCGGCAGTGTTTCTAAACTGTTTTTTAATATCCCTAAACGTAAAAACCTTACAATTTTTCCACAAAAACTGGCCGTTTTTGACCAAAATCTCGACTTTTTTGAAAAATAGCAAAAGGTTCAAAAAGTTTTTCTAGTTAACATATAGTTTTATTTGACTAAAAACGCACTTCCTTTAATTTCCCAGGCCTTCTAGATTAACGCAAAAAAATTACGATCAATACGGGGAAAACGAAATCATGAATCTTAGGATTGGATGATGGATGGGTGGATGAAAAACATGGAAAAAATGTACAAAAAGCTGAGCAGGGGATGGAGATAAAAAATTAGATTCCAGCCGACTCGATTTTAAGAAATAAAAATGAGAAACTATCCTCCAAAAATAGAAACACTTTATGCGATCCGCAGAGGAACCTAGAATTGGCAGCTAATCTCCTGGTGGGGAGGCTGGGTGTTGAGACCGATCGGGGGGAGAGAGAGAGGGAAAAGCAAAAGCCGACCGGCCTCAATTGCGGATGGCAGCAGGTATTTGGTGAGACAGAGAGAGAGAGAGAGAGAGAGAGAGAGAGAGAGAGAGATCAATGCCGGTACGCTGCAGGGGATGGCTGTGAACCTGAAGGGATAGATCCGGTCTCTACCAATGGCAGCACCATCCCCCCCCCACACACATCCAACGACGCGATGATACGATGCACGGCATGCCACCGGCATTCAACTACCATCCTCCCCCATCCACCCTACCGGCTCGTTTCACATTTTTCAGTAGATCGGCTACTCCACCCCGCGTTCTGCCCAGGGAGAATTTGCATATGTTTCACGTTTCTGGGTCAAGAAAACGCGGGTGATAGCGCCGAAAAGCTGAGGAAAACGGAATATGCTGAAAAAATCTAAAACTAGTTTAGAAAGGCGCAAATAGATCGCCTGGAGCTTTTCAGGCTTTCTAAAAAAGCTCAGCAAAAAATTTTACTTTTATTTTAATTTCACGAGCCTAAGCTGGTCTCCAAAGCTAAGCTAACGAAGCCAACTGTAGCCTAATCCTAAGCTAAGCCAAGCCTGGGCTTGGGCCCAAGCTTAAGCTAAGCCTAAACCAGATCTAGGCAAAGCCAAAGCCAAGCCAAGTCCTAATCTAAGCCTATCGAAAGCTTAAGTTTTGTATCGTAGAAACGCCAACCTGGACTTATAAAAAATTTCTAAAATTTTTGTCACAGGAAAACAGCTTTTCGATGGTAATTCGGCTAGGGTGAAACATTTGGAATGCTCGGCACATTAATAGGACGCGTGACTGAAAAGAATTCCCGCCAAAATACCGACAAAATCCCGACCACCATAATCCCGACATTCCAAATCTCGACAGCCAAAATGCCGACATTCCCGACAGCCAGAAAATACCGGGTTTTAAAACCAATCACTATAAAAAAATCATATTTTGGATGGTTAAACACATAAAGAAAAAATTCCAAATCTTGAAAATTCGAAAATTTAGACTTTCGTGGCCATTTTGGCAAGTGGTCCCCCGATAAGCGGAAAGAACCCGCCTGGCACCTTTTCTCATCGATTTTCATGAATTCCCGGGTGTTTTTCGGCAAAATACCGGATGAAGAAGAAACAAATCAGCACTTTATTCATGGACAAGGGCATTCGGTAGCGAAAGTATGTTACAAAGATAAAACCATTCAATCCATTCTTTATTCACATAGTAGGAGACTGTCATCAAGCATCGGGTGCACGGTCGGGTCGACGTCGATCAGGCTTTCGACGCGTTGAGGCTGCAACACAGTGTGGTTTACGTGCGAGAAAGTTCCTGCCGTCTAGTTAGCTATGCGAATATTTATTTTTTTTTATTTAGTTTATTTTATTGGGTTTATTTTTATTTAGTTGTTTGTTTTTATTGTTTATTTATCTTATTGAGTGCCAGTTATTTTATTCGGTTTTATTTTCATTGACTTTTATTTATAATCATTTGTTTAATTTCTTTTTGTTGTATTGAGTTTTTCGCTATTTTATTTCGCCGCTGATTTTGCCACATTTCTCGCGTGGTATCTGGCGAGCGTTTTCGGACCGAATTTCGCCCGAAAGTCCAGAAAAGCCTAGGAACGTTGTAGTAAGTATTTTAATAGCACCTTTAATAGAATTTCACTAGATTTGAGGTGGCAAAACAACCTAAAAAGTTGAGAGAATTTATTGTTCGACATTTTGGTCGAAGCTCGGCCATTTTTGCTCAAAACAATTGATGATTTATGTCTTTTTGATACAAAATTTGATACAGTTTTTACGTTTATGAATAAGGGTAAAACAGTTTCCAAACGCTTTATCCAATTATTTTACAAAAAACTGGATCGTTGGAAAAAAGTTTGTTTCCCACCGTATGGGCTATCGATGCGGTAGAGGTTGACGTCATTGCAGACCGAGTCGACAGGTTGTCCAGCATCTCATCGAACTCCTGAAAAGAAGATGCGAAATTCGATGCTTGCCTCGGCCGCCATTCGGGACCTTTCCGTTTTTATTTTAATAGGGTTTTTGCCAAAAATTTGAAAAACGTTTCAGCCGAAATTTTGGCCGAAGTTCGAAACTTTTTGAAATTCGTAATACAAAATTTGCAAAGTTTACGTTGGGAAAAAAGGACCAGTACTTACATCGTACGCGGTCATCCACGGCGGGCGAGTGACCGGGCGCCTCGGGGGGATCCACACCAGCTCGCTGTCCGACGTCGTCGTCGGGGTGGCGGGTCGCTTGAACATTAAAGTGTTTATCCTAATTAAGAGTGATTATCCTAATTCTCAATACTCATGTACGGCTCCATACGCAAGCAACAAACAATTTTTGTCGCATTTTACACAGTTTTTTAGCCAAAAAAACCTAATGAAAAATCTCCAAAATGTTCGACATTTTTCTCAGAATTATATGGAAAATTACCAAGAAAAAAATTTTGAATTGCCACCGTTTTTTTTTTGAATTTTGAATTGCCACCAAGAAATTGTCACGGTTTTTTTGAATTTTCAAAAGTCGAATTTTCGAATTTTTTATGACTTTCTAGCAAACGAAAAATTAGATACAAGTTATATATTATCAACAGGCAACCCACCATTTGGTTGAAAATCTCCAGCCCGCTGCGGACCTCGAGCCCCTCATCAGCCAATACGCCTCGCCAAGCGCGCAGGGCGGCCGTAGCTGCGGTGCCGAGTTCGCGGGAACGAGTCACCTGCGATAAAGTTGATAGTAGTTTCCACAAGATAATCTGGTTCTTTATTAGGGTCGACTTTCTAATATAAGTAGAGAAGGTTATAAACCGGTTTTTGCCAATCCAAAACGTAAAAAACGTTACAAATTATATTAGAAAAAACACTCAACGAAAGAATTTTTTTAAAAACTAGAAAAATATCGATTTTTAGACCCAAAATTAAATTTTCGACGAAGTTTTCGAAGTTCTAGGCCCGACACCATCACCGGAAAAGGACGAAAAACGGTGCTGGCAGGAACCAAATTTTGGCAGTATTTCCGTACATGTTTATAATGAAATATTAACCATGTTTCACATAGTTTTACGTTCATATTTTGGAACTTTTTGTCATAAAGGTATGAAAAATGGCCAGAAAAGTCAAAATTTTCAAAATTTAATTTTTTATGACTTTCTAGCAATCAGAAACTACTAAAAACGCTATAGAACTATTATTCTTATTATCATTAATAGTAACACGTGGGCATGGGTGGAAAAACAAAAAAGGGGTCCCCCCCGCTAACAGTCCAGCCCTGCCGCGAAAACGCACCTGGAACTCGTAGGTCTTCCGCGCCTCGGCAAGCGCCTTCGGCGCTGCATCGCGTTTGAGCTTCATTTCTGGGAGCGCCGCGTAGATGTTCTTCGCCTCCTACAAAATAGTCATGGATTGAAGTAGCAAAAAAACCTGGTTAAGGCCGATGACGTCCATTTCCTTGAAGGACTCTTCGATGCTTCCGCCATCATCGATGAACAGCCTTCCGCTCTAAAAAGAGAAGCACTGAGCACGCACTAGGGTTATATTAGCGTAGACCCATGCACAGCTATTATAAACACCCGGTTTCCTTAAGTTTCGCGGGGGGGACCATTTTTTTCCTGACGGCCTTGTCGGCCTAGTAATCAAATCTAAAGTCTTTTTAGATTTAAGTATGTTTCAGCTCTTTTTGGAGTAGCAAAACTTGAAAAAGTCGAAAATTTGGTCATTTTCGGCCAAAAACTGAATTTTTCGACCTAACATTGCTTCTTTATTAAAAATTGCAACGTTTTTTATGCTCAGGAATAGCTAGCAACAATGTAGAAATGCATCCGTTATTCATAAAAAAATTTAGCCCCCGCGAATCCGAATGAACCGAGCACCCTACTTACAAAAACTTATAAAAAAGTCAAAAAGTAGGAAAATTTCTTAATTCTTTTAAAAATCGTTCGAGAGATCAAAAACTGTGAAAACCCCTTATAAAAATCCATTTTATATTACAAACAAGGAAATGTCCGCCGCTAAGGATCCTGTGCCGAAAAACTGAATAACTGAACGTACTTCATAAAAGAGGACAGGCAGTACACCGCATGGCTTGCCAGCCAAGGTGGTGGCCGCCATATGTCCCTTCCAGTCTTCGGCGTAGACCTTTTCTTCACAAGCGGCCAACGCGTGAAGGCGCATTTCCACCTTCTCGAGAAGTTCTTGCTGTAAATACGGAGTGTTTCAAAAATGGTACTTTTCAGGTTTAGAGGCGCCGGGGTAACATTTTTAGGTCATTTTCGGCTAATTAGTGGGTTTCGCGGCAGTGCAGTGCTATACTCCCAATTGAAGCTAAGCCGGACTCGGTAAGCAGCACAGCTATCACAATTTAGCCACAACCTAAACTTAAGCTAAGCCTAGCCCCCAGGCTAAACCAGCCCGAAGCTACGCCTAAGCTCATACAACAAAGAAGAATGACCTAACTGTAAAGTGTTTTTACTCAGGCCGGCGTTTTAGAATGGGACCAAGCCTATCTTGTGCGGAATTTTTTGCTGATTCAGAATCTGGTTTCCAAATTTGCTGCCGACCTTTATTTAAAAAGTTATTCGACATTTAGGCTAAAAAAAATTGACTTAATCTGAATTTTTTGCGTTATTTTTAAGTTGGCGTCATCTCCGACGTTAAAACTGGCTCGGTAACGGTTTTAGAGGTCAAAGCACGATTTTATGCAAAAAATCATTAGTTTTTGTGCAAAAAGCCAGCATCCGAATTTATGCCGTTTTTAAGCTTAATTTAGACCCCAAATGACTTTTCAACGCGAAGTCCGCAGCAAATTTGGAAAACGGGTTCGGAATCAGCAAAAAATTCTGAACAAGATAGGCTTGGTCCCATCCTAAAACGCCAGCCTGAGTAAAAACACTTTACAGTAAGCGATGTCTAGGCGGAAAGGGAAGCTCGATCGGCGTACCTTAGCCTGAATCTGGGCTTCCGTCTCGTTGAACTCCTGCTGGCACCGAAGGAGGGTGTTCTTTGCCCTCCCTTTTTCCTCCTTATGTCGCTCGTAGTCCTGTAATTAGAGAATTGAGAATGATTTCCGGAAGAATTCAGAGGGGAGGTCGGCGGCTTCGACCCGATAGTATTGTAAAGTATCGGTAGTGAATTTGCATATTATCGATACGATACTGATACTTCGGGACCACGCTTGGGCTTTTTAGGTTGGTAAGGAAACTCACGAATGTCATGGTTGTAGAGTTCAGTTTAGTAGTGGGAAGTCAATTTAAGTAATATGATGGGATAGCCAGGTCGCTTCTTCCTCTAGCTCCCAACTTGTGCTAATTTTGGGCCTTCCGGTGGCCGAACAATTCCAGCGAGGTGCTATGCTTATTTCCTTTTCCAGTCTCCGTGCCGTCGTAGTTAGCACGCGGTGCTAAATATTTACCGATTTTTGGCCGCAAAAAGGCTGAATGAAAAAGAGAATGAAGAATGAAACATGTAATAAAAATAGCATCCTTTATTACGACAGAGCAACACGAGTATTATATGAGAGGGCAGACAACAAGCACATAACCCACAGTACGAATCGAGATATGGTCGTCAAAACTTTTAAAAGTACACACGCGATACAAAAATGTAAGGGTGAGCAGCACGTGCGGTGGATGAGAGAGACAGAGAGTGAGAGAGAGAGTGAGGGAGGCAGAGATAATGGTTGTACGCTTTAAATTGTTTTCTTTTCTTTCTTTTCTTCGGGGTTAATTGAGCGTGCGGGGGCGTGGTGGTGGTGGTGGCCCTCTCAGCGGATGATCGGCTTCGGTGGCTCGCCGCTTTCAGGGAACACTTCAAGCGATGGGTCCCAGAGACGCTTCGAAATCTCGAGACGTTCTTGGCACTGAAATTGGGTGAATTGATCTGCTATCAACCGTTGAAAGTTGGTGATTTCTCCTTATGGGGGGGGACCCCATCGAGAATGAAAGCTTTTTTTCCTTATGAGCTAATTTTGATCATAATATAAATAGACCACGTGTTTTGTATTCCCAGCGCCCTTTTACTATTCCAAAACATAAATAAAAGCTTACAAATCCTTGATGAAAAGTAGCAAAAACTATCGATTTTTCCAAAAAAAAGTCGAATTTTTAAATAGCTAATTTTACTTACAAATTTTTCCAGATAGTGTTTTTGCGCTTTAAATATAGCCGCATTTACTAAAACACCTATTCAAAATACCTAATATTACGTTAATAGGAACTTCTGAACTAAAAGGAACGATTCGTTGATAAACCCCTTCGATGAAAGAATAAATAGTGATAATAATAGATAGTTAAATACTGGCAAAATAAAATTTCGATATTTTGCTTTTCGACAGAATCAAAAGGCGAAAAAAATAAGCACAAAATGGCGCTGACCCCGGCGAAGCTTCCCGGATAGTCGGGGACGAGCGCGACGAGCTCGCATTCCAGATTGGCCGCCACCTTCAACACGCAACCAGCATTCTTGTACTAAAATCGGAAATGAAACAATAAATAACATCAATAAATCGCGTACATCATTGGTGTAACAGGGCGCCGAGAAGATGGTGACGACGCGCTTGTCCCACAGCGTCGAGTAGCCCTCCAAGCACACCTAAACCATTCTTCCGGAACCATAGGAAAAAAAAGACACATACCTGATGGCCGCGGACGATCATGTCGATGCCAAACCGCTCGCAAAAGTCTTCGGTCGTCTGAAAAAAACCAATTCGTAGAAAGTCTGCTGGTTTTTTGCAATATTCGGGAAATAATTGTTTTCCTTCACATTGAGTCTTGCTTCTTTGCATGGTTTTCTCACTTGGTATTTACAGAATTAAAAGCATCAAAACCCTACATTTCAATTAAAAAATTACCAAAATTAGGCCAATATAGATTTCCTTACCAAAATTGTTAAATTTTTAGGTAATTCCACTTGAAATATAGTTGAATTTGACTAAAACATTTTAAAAAGCCTATTTACAATGAGAAGATTTTTTAGTGTCCATCGGGTTTCGAAATGTGAAAAATGACCAAAATCGCAAAATTTTCAGAACTTTTTTATTTTGGTCGTTTCGCAGATCATATCTGGACTTAAATGGGACCAATTTCGCCCCGGATTTTGCTAAGGAATCCGCCGGCCAAAAACACTAACCCTTCGTCCAAAGAAGAATCCGCAGCCGCGCGAGTTTGGGCGCCAAAAGTCGTAGGCGGTGTCGGGGTCCGACCACACCATATCCGAGCAGAGACCCTGGTACGGATTCCGGACCGGCTTCTACAAAACGCCCGGGGCTGGTTCGGCTGGGCAAGGCAAATCATACGGGGTGTTGGCGGAGAACGTCGAACGATGTGAGATGCGGGGTGATGCCGCCGTGCACGCAGAGGATCTTGTCGGAAACGAGGGCCGCCACGGACAGATAGTTGAATGCTCGCTAAAGCCGTAGAGAATTAGTGAAAATCAATTACAAGCAGCAACCTGCATTGCAGCCCACAGCTTGATCCCGTCGAGATCCGTCCGGTTGTGGCAGACTTGCTGTAAAAATGAGGGTACTGGACTGGTTGCGGGGGGAGGGGCTTGATATATCCTCCTGTAGGACCCGTATGTAGCTTTTTACGTCGTTTCCAATAACAAAAGTTCTAAAAAAATTTGATTTTTGGCCAAAACTCCCTGGAAGTTTTCCAAACGAAAATTTATTACTTTTCTAAAAGCGTTTTCATGAAGTTTTTAGCGGTGAGAATCCACTAAAAACACTTTCAACACACCTCAATTAGACAAAGAGAAGTGAAGAAGAAGAAAAGCTAAGCACCTGAAATCCATATTTTCGATTCGTGCGCGCATTCTCGTGGTTGCCCTTCAACAGGAAAATGTGATCCGGGTACTTTGCCTAAAAGAAACTGGGCGAAAAACAAGAATAAAAACTTTGTAGCCAAATAGCAACGCGGCGCATTCGACGGCCATCGCTCCACGATCAACATAGTCGCCGAGGAAGACGTATTTTCTAAAATCACACACTTAGGACGCGGGGAGGAGCGCATACTTGGCAGGTGGCCGTCCCATCACCAGGAATATGCTGACCAGATCGTTGAATTGCCCATGGATGTCGCCGACGATGATAGCCGGGGCCATTGTCTATAAAAATCGAGTTTAACCAACAAAATATTAGCAATGCTACATCAATCAGCATCTTTTCCTCCTTGAAGCGCCACGTGGCAGCCCGGATGACGTGAAGGAGATCCTTTTCGCGGTAGGTGATCGTTTTAACCTGGAAACGGGGAATTTAGCGTCGCTTACAAATACAAATCCTTCGAGGTCAAGATGATGGAACTGTCCGGTTGATTAACCGGGCTTCCTTTACTCAGTTACCTAGTAATAAAATCTGATATTTTTACAGTTTATTATATCCCTTTCATAGTTATCTTTTTAGTAATTTCCGTAGTTTCCGATTATTAAAACCTTGTCAAAACATTGAAAGCTTAAACCCCCTGCCTCTTTTTCATATATTTTCGAACAAAAAGCCATTTATCAAAAGTTAGGAATTTTTTTATGATGATCTGTAATAGATAAACAACAAAACCCACTCCAGGGCCAACATCCACATAGTGCATGTCGAGGAACTTCAGGTAGTCAAAGTTGTCGGTCTTTGGGTTGTACTCGATCGGGGTGGCGGTTCGGCGGGCTTGTGGCGGCTAAAAAACGATCTTCTAGCCGCACGCCAATAAGTGCTCACCCGAAAGACCCCATATTCGGCGGAGGCGCTCTGGGTGCGCTGGACGATCGTGTCCGAAGCGTTGCCTCTACGAGATATCGCCATTCTAAACAAAACGATTGTAAACACTGGCCAGAAGGTACCGTTGCGAGACCGAAACGCCGCGTGCACGGGTGTCCTTTTCGACGCGCCGACGTCCAGAAGCGCCCGAGCATTTCGACCTCTGAAATATCCATTAAGATCGGTACTGGACTGTTAGCGGGGGAGCAATTCGACGTATACCTAACAAGCCAATTTCTAAGCTTTTTTGTGTACTTTTTGGTTTTCAGTGTTTTTGTTTACCAAAAACGCCTAAAAGCATCTTACAAAAATTTGCAAAACTCGACATTTAAACACAGCGTAAAAAGGATACATAAATCGTGCCTATCGCATTATCGGGGTACTAGAGGGCGGTAAGGCGAGGATCCGCCCGATAACGGTCAAATACCGAAAACGGTAAGAGTTTACTTTACCCCCACAGCCGAAGGTTCTCAAAGTTGTCGGTATTTTCGCTGATTTTGTCGGGATTTTTGCAACGCAATTCGATAGAGCGTCGAAAAATATACTAAGGGTTTTAATTTGAGCCTACAATAATGTAAAATAAAAAAGTTATAGCCAAAAACTTCCGGCTGGGGGGTAAAGTAAACCGTAGCCCCGAAAACTTACGGCCAAGTATGTGTGTGCGTTCGACTTTTCACGGGAAGTGAGCAGATTGGGTGCCTTGGCGGATGACTTGACGTTGTTGCCGTCTTTGGCCTCCGGTGAGACGAGTCGGACGCCCTTCTCCTTCCGGCCAGACCCGCCGCTGCCCGCGACGCCATGGCGCTTCGACTGCTCTGGTATCTTTTCTTTTGAGCCTGAAAATATATAATTTTACCGAAAGAGGTATGTGGAAACCAGCAGGAAGACAAAGACAAAAAGATTCGAAAAACACTGGAATCAACACGCCTCATTTTTGGAAAAGCGATATCCCACCGATCACCGTCGTGGCTTGGGTTATTTCGCGCCTCTCACGCTTCTTCGACACGGCATGCCGTTTTGATGGTGCATCCCGGGTGACTTCCTTGGTGCGCCGCTGCGAGTTTTCTGAGCAAAACAATATAGCTTTGTTGCCCGCCAATCCGATACCAATTTGAGTGGTGGTGATGGTGGCCTTGTCCCTGGTCCTGGTGACGATCGGGGTACGTGGCGGCGTTTTATTTTCTTTATCCGGCTCTTTCGAACTCGTTTTTCGGCGCACCGACGGCGTCTGATCTGCAAAATGACGAGGAATGTCGGCCCAGGCAATGAAACCTTCTTTAGCACGTATAAACGAGGTACTAGGGTCTTAGCCGGGGGCTATCTAGCCTATGGGCTACGGTTTACTTTACCCCCCAGTCGGAAGTTTTTGGCTATAACTTTTTTATTTTACATTATTGTAGGCTCAAATTAAAACTCTTAGTATATTTTTCGACGCTCTATCGAATCGCGTTGCGAAAATCCCGATAAAATAAGCGGAAATACCGACAACTTTGAGACCCTTCGGCTGTGGGGGTGGGGGGTAAAGTAAACTCTTACCAGCCTATGCCTGTTTCGCGTAAACTCATTTTGCCTAGAGCCGTTTCGCATAAATTTTTTAATTGTTTTGTTCATGTTAAACATGATTCCTGAAATTCGTAATACAAAGTTATCAAAAGTGATTTTGGCGAGGAATTTCCAGATATGTGGTAACAAATTTAATAAGCCAATTATGACATTTCGAAATTCTGGACTTTTTGGACAAAAACACAGCTCTGAAAACTGCCAAAAATGTAGGCGAAACGGGTTTCGGCAAACTGACCGCCCCCGAGGTAGAGCCAAGGCAAACGAACCGGTTTGCGTCAAGTCCGTCTTGTATCCATCAGCCATCGCCGGACGGGACCGCAGCGTTATAAAAAATGGCAGGCGCTGAGTGTGACACCGTAATAATGTTCGGAAGCCAAGCATTTATATTCAAATTTTATTCCCAAACAAAAAGACAGGGGCGAGGGGCAGGGAGGCGAATCACAATCCGTCAAACATCGGAATGTGTATTGGGAGGGGAGGTGGATTGACGGAATATGAAAAGTACACCCTCAAAATAAGGGTGTACTTATTCAATTTCCGGGGTTATGTGTGTGTGGGGGCGAATGGTTGAATGGGAAGGAATGATAGTGATAGTGATGCTGATGATGATGATGGCGAGCAGAGAAATGTTGGGTTATTTTTGGAGGCGATTGTGGCAGAGGGCGAAGCGCTGGTCGTAGTCGGCGCGGAAGTGGGTCACTTGTCGATGCGAGTTCATCGTGTCGTCGCACCACAGGTCGATCAGCGTGCGGCACACCCACAGATATTGCTGAAAAGCAGGAAATCGGTGGCGAATCAGAAATAAGGTACTGGATCATTACCGGGGGGGGGGACGGAGAGAGAAACTTAACCGGCACGAAAATCCGGCTTTTTTCGTTAGCCTACACACACAGGCATATTCAAAAATGAAATAGGTTTAACCGAGTTTTGTTAGTTTAGTTTTGTTAACATTTCTACGAACTTTCTACGAGTCCAGATATGTCCAAACACGGCATAAAAAGTATTTGAATCGTGTTTTTAACAATGTTGATCTAAATTTTCCGCCTAAAACGCAACCTAAAATGTAAAAATTCCAAATTTGGTCGAAAACCCGATTGTTTGTGATTTTGTACAAAAATTTGTCAGGCTCCCCACAAAAAAAATGCTAAAGCACCAACCTTTTCAGTCTGCACCCCGCCAGCTCGCTGACGTCGAATGCTCTGCAAATGAACACGTTTCGGGGCAGGACCAAGAAAAACAAACCACGATTATATCCTTGAGTCCGTCGAGCGGAACGCCCGCTTCGACCTGGTCGATGGCCAACTGCAGCGCGACGATTGACCCAGTGCGCCCGATACCCGCCGAGCAGTGCACGATCACCGGTGACACGCTCTTTGTAATCTAAAAACACTACTTATTGACGCTATAACGAAAATTCATTACGTCGAAAATCAAAAAAAGTCAAAATTGGCTAATTGCCATAGACATAACATCTAAAAACGATTTTTCGAAAGGTATGTCGCAGAAAACGCGCGATTTTGTAGTTCATTTTTAAATCGCACCTCTTAGATCAGGATTTCGAAATGGCCGTTTTTCCACGACAACGCAAGTTTTTTTGACATTTGGCTTTTCGAAAGCGCTTTCAAAAATATAACTATCGTGAAAGTAGCTCTTCGAAAATCGGTGCGTATCTTGTCGAAATTTAGGCAGCACCGCGATTTCACCACCCAAATACCTTGTCGAGTAAATTGGCGGCCGTGTTGCCGATCTTGGGGATGCCGTGATCGGGCCAGCTGCTCCAATGCAAATGCTCCACCAGATGCTCCAGGTGGCGATCGCCGACGATGCGCGTCACCTTGAATTGACGGTGGATGACGCCGTCGTCCGAATCGAATGACGACATCTGAAAGAAAACGTGAAACAATGTGTAAAAAAAAAGAAAGTAGCGTACCTCCAGGCAAGCCACCACAAACGGTCCGTAGGAGAGGCGTTGGCCGAGTTCCCGGGGGAAGTAGTCGCCGCATTTCACTTTGCCCTGCAAAACCCGTAAATTCAAGGGGGCCAGAAACGAACCGCCTCAAAATAGTCGCACAGTTGGACGATCAACTTTGAGCGCTCCTGGCAAACCATGTGCCAGAAATCGGCCATCGTATGATCGGTGGGCCCCTAAAAACTTTTAAACACGGATAAAAACGACAGCAAAGCGGACCTGGGTGCAAATGAAGCGCTGCGTGTGGCCCTTGGTGCTGACGTAGTTGGCATGGATGTATTCCGTGGACCAGTTGCGTAGTTTGACGCGCGTACGGTCGAGACATGGAATGTCCCTAAAACAATTGCTAAAAACTGTCTAAAAAAGCGCGCTACCGGTAGCGATTCTTGGAGACGTTCTTCGGATCGTAGAACGCCTTGCAGTCGTCGGGATGGGGGACCGTCTCGTCGCGGGCCTTCTCCCACTCGCGCTCCAGCTCATCGAGGTCCTTGCTGATCGACAGCACGGCTTCACGACGCTGAAACGAGGGTCATTTTTATCGGCGTATTTGGCGCTTATCGTTTAGCGGGGGGGATTTGCCCGAAGGAATTGCAGAAACAAGCCATTTTTATAGCTTAGTGACATTTTTTGAGGCATAAAAAGCTGATGAAAAGTTAAAACTGGTTGGAAAACACGGCTGTTAAAAAAATCTTGAAAATAACAAAAATAAACCTTCCACACAAGATTTCTATAATTTCCTAGTTCCAAGATTTGCCCGCCCATAAACCTACCAGATAGAACGGATGCTGGTGCCCATGCTTGTTGATGATTGGGGCCGAATTTTTGCGATGGAGCTCGACCTTGGGTGGAGTCGTTGTCGAATCCCTCTTATTCTGACATGAAAATACAATAAAACGAAAAACAAATTACCCCGTTGCTCAACGACCGCATCTTGGCCCGGTCTTCGGCTTTCGGGAACTGCAAAAAGATTAGAGAAGGGCCAGAAGTTACCTTCTGAGCCGACGGTCGCACGATAGGTGGCGGGGGTGCAACGGGCTGGATGGGCTTCAACGGAGGCGGTCGCTTCTTTTCTCGTTTCGAGTCTTTGTGCTAAAAAAAGGCTGGTACTGGAATGTTAGCGGGGGGGGGGCTTTTTAGATGAAACCAACAAAAACCTAGCAAAAAATCAACTTTTTTCATTTATTACAAGTCGGAAACCGTACCGCGGCGTTGGCCGCCTTCACTTGCTTCCGAATCTTCATACTCCGACTGCTCTCCTGGTCCTCCCCGGCCGCATCTTTCTAAAGAACAAGATTTGATAACGGCATTCCACGCCCGAATTACCTTGCCAATTTTCACGCCACTATTCTGGGGTGTCATCTTCTTGCGCGGCGGCGTTGTCTGAAATCAAGGTAGTTCTCAAAAGGCTAAAACTGTACCGGACGAGTCGTCTTCTTCGAGACCGACCTCAAGCTTTTCGACCTCGACGAGTTGTCCGGGTCCTGAATACACCCCCCCCCCCTCCTTTTTTATTTTTTTTTAGCTATATTACTTCAGGTACTGGGCTGTTAGGGGGGAGATTAGCAGGGGAACTAATTTCTGTTTTTTTTCGCAGTTCTTGCTTGCTAGCTAGTTATTAAAAAATTTTTTAAATCGAACATTTTGACCTTTTTTGGGTCATTTTTCATACATTTTTGAACAAAAGTACTTAACAAACGTTTAGATAATGATGTTTTACTACTCTGATTTTGTTATATTCGGAACCAGCACAAAAGTCGAAGAACAAGAAAGACTGAAAAAGTCGAAAACCAAAGTGCCCCCCCAACCAGTATAGTGCCCATTTTTTTCCCTTATAAAAGGCCGCAAAAATGGGGTATATTTTGTTATGGAACCGTACAGGATAACGGGAAAAGTTTATTTTTCCCCTGCTAACAGTCCAGTACCTTACTTTATATATCTCTAAGAACACAATACCTTCTCTTTTGGCTCGGTCGCCTCTTTCACATCGATGGATTTGGAACGGCTATCGCTGGATCCGATTGACTAAAATAAATGAAATTTACATGAACAAATAGGGAGCTACCTCCGCACTCTGCCGATTTTCATCCTTGTCGTTGGCGTACGGCGAGGTTGCCCGGTTGATGTAGGGCGCGGTGGCCGTCTAAAATGAAAAATTACAAATTTAATTTTGAAATCTTACCGCTTCCATGTTCGTCACGTATTGACTCTTCGGCGAGCCCTCGCGCTAAAAATACGAATTTTGTGAAAGTCGACCCCCTGGCCGAACCGTCATTCATACCTCTTGCTTTTTTCGGCGTTGCCGGACAGATTTTATAGCCTGGCGGAGCCACGACATGGCCGAATCAGCGATTCCGACGAACCCTAATGGCCGGATCAGCCGGATTGGGGCGCTGATGCTAATTTGGGCGGCTATGCAATGTGCGTGGGAGTCAAATTTTTGATAGACCGACTTTGTGCCTCCGCTGACTGTTAATTTTCAGTTCGCCGGAAACAGAGGTTATACAGAACTTCGGATTCAAATGAAAAACCGAATTTTCTGATCGAAAAGAGCAAAATTTAGCAGAAAAAAAATGGTCAATGGATGGCCTCTTATGGTTGATGCAAGATTTCAGGAGGGATATGTAGACAAGAATTTTTCTGATGCAAAACCGCTTTCAAAAATTGCCGAAACGCTCCCTTTAAAGTTTTACGCGTTTTTTGCTGCCAAATCGCGCCAATAATTTTCAGCATTAGATCTTTCTAAAAATCTCGCGCAACTCTCATGGGCAAAAAATACGTCTAATTTCACGACATTTCCACTAAGGCCTAAAGTTATGCATTTTTGGCTTTTCAGAGAAAAACGCGCGCAACTTTCAACCAGAGGAGCTCGACAATTTTTGAGACCGGTATTCGGAATGCAGCCATTCCTCCCTCACCATTACCTTGACTTTGACAAAAGCGTTGTGCCGATCCTCCGTGTTTTCATAGTCGCAGGGGATGGCCGTTTCCGAAGACTTCAGCGTGGCCTCCTGGTTCACTTGCAGACTCGAGTCGTCGTTGGCCGATGGCTGAAATGGTAATCAGCGATGACACAGCAAATTGCACCTTTACACACCCACTCTCCTAGAGGAAATTATGCGAAAAGACATAGCCCGCCCACGATATCCTTCTCACCCCCACACGCCGTTTCCCGTGCCAATTTCCTCGAGATGGCCATTTGGTCGGCTATTTTTAGGGCCACCCCCTAGTGGTTAATTGCCGTATTGAATGACCGGAAGAAGTCCGTGCGGATGTACTTGCGAATCCCATCAATGATCAATTGGAAGGGACTGTGATGAGGTGGCTACGAGATTTCTTAGGTGGTCAAAAAATACAGAGTTGTTTTGTGAAAGTGAAAGATTGTTCCCGATCTTCCGCAAGATAGGGAAACTCCAATAATGCGCCGTAAGATGTCTGAGAACTCCCAGAGAGCAACCAATGCTTCCGTGTTGCCGGGGACAAGGCAAATTCGTCAGCTTATGCTGTTGGGGCGAAACATTGAAATTTAGGCAGTTTCCAAGCGTTCGCCACTTTTTAACACAGCACGAATTTCAATAAAAGTGCGACGAATGAAAAATGACTTCTTGGATAAAATACTGTGAAAACCCGGAAAATGAAAGCGCGGAAAGAGCCACATGTTTTTGAGTTGATCTAAACAGTTTTTTGCATATCTTAGAGGTGGATATGCCGACGTCGGCCTTAGGGGACTACTAAAAGGCTGTGAAAATCTACAAGGTTTTAGACAGGGCGGATATGGGCCAAATCCTAGAATTAGCCTTGCTCTCCTGCTAACACGGAAGCATCTAACCCAACGATGTACAAAAAAGGCAACCGTTACCCGGGCCGGTTGAAAGTATCTCAAAAAATTTACCGGTGTACGCTCTTCAAGTTTCGAGGAATGGCAGCTTTTAGTGGTAGTGGAGGATCCTTTCGGTCGAACGACAGCGACGGGCTTGGCCTGTTGTTTAGACGCCTTCAGCGGTGTTTTGGTGGCCTTTGGTAACTTTGTTCCCGGCAATCCCTTCGGCCCGTGCCTAAAGTAGAATTAATTCGTCAACCCTGAACCACAAACACTCTTGGACCGGCAGCCACGGCGGCGTGTGAGAGACGATTCTGCACTTTGTGCACATTAGATGAGCTCGGTGGCCTCGGCTTGACCTGAAAAAAATGGAAAAATAGTAAAACGTAAAAGACGAACAACTCACCGATAATAACTTTGGGCGAGATTTGTCAGTGTACCTCTGTAAAAACGGGTTAATACAAAGATGTCAAAGACAAAATACCTCCGAGTACTCCTCTTGGCTCGAATGTTTGTTACCCATTCACAGGGAAAGCTGTAAATAATGCTGAAAGAAGAAGTGTTATACATGAATTATAGAGAACGAGCGTTCGGGTTATGAAAACAAAGAAAAAGAGCATACAAGGAGCAAAAAGCAGCTTTCAAAGATTGGCAGTATGATTTCAAGTCCAAATTTTCCGGTTTTCGCGCTTCTACCTTTAAAAAGCATAGCTCAATGTAGCGGCTACTTAAAATCAATAATACCAAGCAAAAAAAAGAAATATAAATTTTGTTAGAAAAACAAAAAAGAAAATAAAAAAGTTTAGAAGAAATCCACAAAATGCTGGAAAAACCGAGAGGATACTACGAGAGACTTCTATAACCACCACTTCGTCATTTGTCAACTTGTGTACTACCGCTTCTCCGGCCTTCCCGGAAGCTTTGCGCAGCTTTGCGAAGCTTGATTTTGGCTTCTAAGCTACTGCGTCAGTATTGCGAAGTTCAGCGTTCAATTCCCTACCTTCTACGTGCGCGCCGCGTGTCGCGGTCCTTTTTCTCAAATCCTTTAAACTTGTCTTCAAAACTTGCAATTTCAGGCATGTATTTTACGCATGGGAGGCCCCGGCACCCGGTTCAACCGAGCTTGGTCAGCGCTATTTTGGAGTTTTCAGCCTATCATTTTAGACGCAACTGAAACAAATGCCACCGCCTCCACCGCCATTGCCATCATCCTCAGAATCGACACCAACCAGCGCGCCGCACGAATATAAGCCAGTAAGTCAGAAAGTACCTTCTCTCTATTTTTATTTTTCTCGGAGCCACTTCCACTATTCGAGGCCACTGCTTCGTCGATTGACGATTCGTTCAAAAGAAGCGGAAAGTACGATGAGGTCCGTTTCGGCCTGGTTTCATTTATCTTGGCACATTTCTCAGATCCGATGGCGGCTCGTCAAGCAAATTGAGGAGCACGGCTTATTCGAGGAAATTGTGGTAGGGATTTTTGTTTTATTCGTGATTCTTTTTCTTAGAAAAAAGGAAACGTCGAGGCCGAAAACCATCTGAGGATGATCCCCGGCAGCAAAAACAGTCCCGACGTGGTCCGGAAGCATCTACAAGGATGGGGCAAACGGTATCATCGAGTTTTCCGAGTTTATTTGCTTTTTCAGTTACGAAGATCGGCTGAAGGGGCTTGTTGAAGATTTCATGTCGGACCCGAGGATCGCTGAGGAGATTCGCACCGTAATTCAACCGTAATGCTATCATATTTTGCTAAATTCAAATGTTTAGGAAGGTTGAAAAGAGATATGGAGCCTCGTCTGCGGATTGCCCGGATGATTTGAACGAATGAAGGATACTTCGAAGGAACATGTCGTTCCGTATTTTTCGTTTCTTTTACTAAAAGGAGTAATAAATATGGTTTGGTAGACTGACATTTTGTGTATTTTTCGGTGGCTAGCCTCCATTTCCAGGTTTCTAGACCGGAAGTTAGCGTCACCGATTAGCTCGACCGTCTCTAAAGCGTCTTTCCTCCTCTCACCAAAATTTTATTAAATCAGAAACGACGCCATCGGGTGCGCATAGATCGGGGCGAAACAACGAGAAAATGATGGGCACCAAACGGAGGAGAGACAGAAAGAAACAGAAGCGGAAGAGCAGAAGAATTTTAGAGAGGGTCCAGTGCATTTGGGAGATCATCAGCATTAATTGGGTGTTGTTCACAGGGCCGGCGACGAGTTGCCCGACGACGGATTGGCCGATGGGGGCGGAGCATCGGTGGACGGCTTGAACCCGTCCATCGTCGGCGGCGGCAGATTCTCGAGACCGCTGCCCGCACCAGCTGGCGTCGCCGGGGCATCTGAAGGCTTTCAGGTAATAACGGCGATTGATTCTGTAGGATTTCAGGCTACTTTGAGGATAAAAACCTTACCAGGCGGCGGCAGCGAGCAGGTGGACACGTTGGCCGAGCTGGCCCCCTCGGGTTTCGGCGACTTGGGCCCGTCCGACTGGAAAACGTTGAATTGCCCGTGCTTGGGTTCAAACCTCGCGCAAAGCCTTGCTCATGCGGTCGGCGGCACTGCGGCTCACCTTGAGGCTGCGCGGGCGCTTCTTGCGGCTCGTCGGCTTGTTGCCCGTGGCGGAGGAAGTGGTGCTGCTCGACGATAACGAGCACGCCGTCGCGCACTGCAAAGGTATCGTTAGGTAAGAGTCTAGAAACCCCCCAGCCGGCACCAACTTTTGTATCTCGGTCCCCTTTTGTGCTAGCGAGCTCTAAAGTATACCAAAATGTTCGCCGTAGGCTAATTAGTAAGACTACATTGCAGTTCAGTCGAAAAAAGTAGCGAAAAATAAAAATTAGGAAGGTAGAAAAGTTGAAAAGCCGGCTGGGGGGGGTTTCCTAGACTTGAGCCTATCGTTATAGTGATGTTGAAAGGGCGGATGCCTATTTAGCTGAATTTAGTTACCCGTATTTTCATGCAGGAGTTCCATTTCGCCGAATTTTTGTCTATCCTAATGCTCATTTCACCAAATTTGCGCCAAGGGCAGTTTTCCACGCTAATTATGCTCGTAGTCAAATCAATTATCATTACAAGCGCGTAATTTAGTGTTTTAATAAGAATGCGAACGTCTTTTCGAGTCAAAAAAATAGTTAAACATATTCGAGTTCAGAAACAACATTTCGCGACTTGAAATCCGGCGAAATCAACATCCAGCGAAGTGAAAGTCGGCGAAACGAATCAAAATAATGGATGAAATACCCCAGTTGTCGGTGCGTCGCCTCCTCCTCCCCCGCATCCACGCCGGTAGAAGTAGTAGACGACGCCAGCCGTGACAGCGCCCACCGCCAGCCCCGTGACGACGTACAGGCCCATGCTAAAAACGGGATTTTCAGGTGCTTGAATGGGGAATAGAAATGTTTTATGCAAAACCAACTTCTTCTTGGGGCATGGCAGACATCCGAGCTTCGACCCGAGAGGGCAAGCGACCGACGTCGGGGGCACCATTTCGGAATATATGGCCAGAAGCGCAGAAAGGTTATTTTATAATCATGAACTCATTCAGCAATTGCGTTTCCGGCCAATATGTAAATTACAGATCCTATTCAAATTCAAATAAGAACCCATTGCTGGATTTTCAACCGGAGGTCGTTGTCATGAAGGCGTAGATAATTGATAACGATTGTTTTGTAATGTGGGAAAAGCGGGGAAATCGTATAACTTTTATTAAGTCCATAGAAAATTGATCGATTCGGGGCGATTTATTGGGCGATGACTTGGACCGGTTGCGCGTACGGGAACAGCTCGACGAGTTTGCTCTGAAAATGGTAGATGAACAAGTTAGCGTCTCTGTTTCTCTCTCTCTCTCTCGCTCTCTCTCTCGCTTCCTACATGCGGTGCCATGCGGAACGGGTTACGCGGCGCGTGCAGCTGGTCGAGCAGTTCCTGGTGGGTGCGCTAAAAGATATTATTTTTATTTCGTTTAATTTTCATAGGAAACGTACGCTGATGGGCGTGGTGGCGGTAGCGTGTGCATAGTTTGCCACGTAGTCGCCCTGGTGATGCATGAAGATCAGGGTACTACACGCCTAAAACCGGAAAACTTAGGTCCAAAAACCACCCTTATCGCTACGTTATAGTCTCGGCTACGTAAATAAAAACATTCGTTTTTAAATGTCAGCAAACTAGCCGTTTTTAGTGTTACAAAAAGTCTAATTTTCATTTTCCATTCCTATCTAGCGTTCTTAAAACGCTTTCCTAGTGTTTCTTACCGTGGGCAATCGCTCGAGGCGCCACTTGTAGCCGAGCAGGAAGTATTGGAGGAGGAGCGGCAGGTTGTCTTTTGCCTAAAAAAAGGGTCAAAGTTGAAGTTCCGCTGACCTTGTCCAACTGGCCAAAGAGGTGGCGCTCGATGGCGGTGACGAGGGCATTTCGGCGGATCGGCTGGTAGCTAAATAAAAGTTATGGCCGTTTTAAGTCAGTTACATGAGGCTGATGTTGATCAACTCCTCGGCGTGGTCGACGGTCATGTCGCCCGGGTGGGCGAATGTCGTCGTCAGCATGAACGCCAGCGCCTAGAGTTTTTCTTTTTTTTAGTAAGTATCGGCGACCCATTTTGCTACAGGCCAGTAAAGTGTACTAAAATGTTCGCCTTGTGACGTGGTGTCAGAATACCTCACATTTGAGTCGGAAAATCAGCAAAAATTTACCTGCTTGACGATGATACACGGTGAGCTTTCGTGCAGTTCATCCCCCACATCCGGTTCCATCAGGCGCTGAAAAGTCAGCGGATTTTGGGGGTGATTTTCATGGCTTCACGACGAACCCTGCGAAAATAGACGGACGAGTAGTAGAGGGCCTGCCGAGAAGCCGTCACCACGCCGTCGCGACACCGCAGCGTAATGTCGTGTTGGGTGCTGAAGGCGTTTATATAGGGGTTTCGCACAAAAAAAAAGGATAATTTCTTTATCTCCCAGGCAAAAGCTGGGATCGTAATAATTTTTGTACCATTCATAAGCCAAAAACCGTCATTTTGCTAGCGTAGCATATGGCGTAGACCGGCGTGTTTTTTAGCGCCGTCATTGTAGCTTTACGTAATGTAGACTTTGGAAAAGTTACAGGCTACGTGCGCTAGTTTTTTAGGCTGTGGTTCAGTTTACCCCCCCCATCCGACCCCCACCTACCGTGTTTCGGCTCCCTGCTCATAACAGGTGTGTAAAGTATACCAAAATACTCGCCAGAGCAAGGCGGACATTTTGGTATACTGGGTGTCCCAAAAAAAAAGCACCCCCCTCTAGCGGTCCGAGGGAAGCTCAGATCGGGATAATTTTTATACCATTCGAAAGCGCTCGGAAAGGCGAGAAAACAAGCGGGATTTATTTTATGAGATTGATTTTTATACGCTGGATATTCAACGCTTTTCTAAAAATCAGGTAGATTTTCAATAGGAATTTCGCGATTAGCATGCAGATCTCGCGTAAATCTGCCGTTTTCATGGTTTTTGGACGTAAAATTTGCTAATAAAAATAGATAATAAAGAAAATGAACCCTCCTTGTTTTCGTCGCCTTTTCAAGAGCTTTCGATAGATACCTAAACGATAAAAATCGGACACGACTGCGCGCCGCTAGAGGGGGGTGCTTTTTTTTTGGGACACCGTGTACTTTACACACCTGTAGATGAACAGGGAACCGAGATACAAAAGTTGGGTGCCGCCTGGGGGGGGGTAAACTGAACATAGATGCATCGCTTGGAAGTTTGAAATTAAGCTTTTTGCGAGATTCTTCCAGAAATTAGATGCCAAAGTGACATTTGTCCTTTATAAAAACGCCGAAATTGTAAGAAAAAAAAGTATGGCAAGCAATTTACGCACGTGCCATTTTTCGGGCTTTTCTAATAGCATAAAACGCGCTGAATTTTCTAGATCGAAAGCTGGATATTTGATTATCGCTCAATTTTTGAGCCTTTCCAAAGATTTCATAGTCCTCCAAAACAAACTGACGTATCCACGAGGGCGCGGAAGCGGAAATCGAGCGGGTCGGGCGGTTGCGGGGCGGCTTCCAGCCATTCCGAGCCGGTGATGAAGTCGGCCTTGCGCACGCGCAGCACGACGCTCACCTCAGCGTGGCGGGACGAGCCTGAGAAGTGAGAATTAGTTTCGGGCCGCGAAATTCGTACCCCGTTTCTGCACATCATCCTGGTCAGCGCGGGCCTTTTTCAGCATTTTAATGATCGGGCCCGTCTCATCGAGGCTGGAAGTAAAGAAAAAAAAATAACATAGTGATTTCTCATTACCGGTGATCTCATATTTTTATTTTCGCTGATTTTTAATCGGTCGTAATTTTTTATATTGACTATTGCCAAACATAAAACTTGATAATTTCATGGAAAGCTGAACAAAATATCGATTTATCGGTCTAAAATCTTCAAATTCGTTGAAAATTTCGGATTTAGCACTTTCCAAAAGGTTTCGCGGATACTTGTCGTCAAAAATAACGTTTTGTAAGGTACACTGAATTCCAAGTCTTTCGAATCGCTAAAGCCTATTTCAGCCCAAACCTTCTTTTTAAAAAATTGCTCACCGAAAAGTCGGTTCCCCGGCGTCGGGATCAAGCCAGCGGCGTTCTGCCAGCGCTCCAGCGGTTTCTAAAAGTTTGAAATTAGCTAAAAATTAAACTTAAAAACCCCACCATCCCCATCGTCATTGAGGATTCGGGCGCGGAAGATGGCTTCGGCCGGATGGGTCAGCTGCTCGGAGCGCCACATGTTTTGGCTCAGCTCCTGGAAAAAAGACTTTGTAAATAAAGTGAAAAACGGCAGACCAGGCGCCATTTCCGTTGCGGGAGGGCGACACGCTGGCGGAGGGCGCTGAACCGCTCCTCGCCCAACAGCATATTCCTGCAAAAGAGGAATATGCCGGTGAGGAAATAAATAGATATAATGAAAAAGAAGAGGAAAATGGCTAAAATTCGTTAATAATACTGGTATCAACTATAATAAAAAAGTAGCGGTGTCCGTCTGTCCGTCGTGTCCCGGATTCAACTCGAAGGGGAAAGGAGCTAGAGCTTAGCTCTCTTCGGATTCGGATAGAGCGTGGTCAGAAACCCCCAAACTGATAAAAAAATTATGAAAAAGTTTTAATTTAAATTATTAAAATTAACTTTGAAAGTTTTTTCCTTAGTAAAAGGGGTGGGGGACGGAGGTTGGGGTGATTTTGGACATAGTGAGCCAGGTCGCGCGCGTTTCGGCTATGAAGAGGGAGCGCCAGGGGGTAGCCCGAAGTCCAGCCGCTTGCAGCGGCGAAGCCGCTGTAAGCGGCTGGTCAACTATAATAATTTTGCTGTGGTCTCTGTCCGTCTGTCCGGTCCCGAATTCAACTCGAAGGGGAAAGGAGCTAGAGCTTAGCTCTCTTCGGATTCGGATAGAGCGTGCTCAGAAACCCCCAAACAGATAAAAAAATTATGAAAAAGTTGTAGTTTAAATTATTAAAATTAACTTTGAAAGTGGCGCCTTAATAAAACGAGTGGGGGGCCCCTCTCCCGGGAGGCCACGCCCCCTTCCCTTCGCCCCTCTTCCCCAGGCCCCTTCCCCGTGCCCAAATAGCTCTTTTAAGTAACTTTAATACTTTTAATACTTTTTATTTATGTTAATTAATTATTTAAATCATCTAAAGCCGTCGGGAAGGTATTTACGTAGTTTTTGAAGGGGATTTCGGATATGGGGTGTATCTGCAGCCATCAGGAAGGTATTTAGGTAGTTTTTGAAGGGGATTTCGGCTATGGGGGGTGTTGATGGAGGTGGGAAAGGATGTGGGGAATGGGACATGTAGGGTAGCCCGAAGGCCAGATGGTTGCAGTCGCGAAGCGACTGTAACCATCTGGTACTTTTCATAGATTTTTACATTGCTTTATTACGTACTCTGATATCCAGCTGAAACAAGGATAGGTATTCGGATTCTACTAATGGAGACTACTATATGGCTAGGTATCGAGGTACCGTTTCGTGCGTACTGTAACGTAGTCTAGAGTAAGGTAAGCGGTTTCCTATATACTGTTGCATATGTATCACACTTATAGTGGCTGCTTGCCTACGCTGCTACCTACCTGACTGGCCCCCAGCGGTTGATATCCTGGCCACCGGAAGTCAACTCAAGACACCAAACGGTAGCTAGTTAGTTAATGTAGTCATACGTAACTACCGTAACAGCCTCTGAATTTCTAATTCGATTGTTGGCCCCTAGCGGGGTGTGCGCCGTTCCCAGCGGCAAGTGCAATGCTGGACCGGTGCTGTCCGGCGAGAAGCAAGCTTCTGCGAACCGAACCGATTCCAAAGGAATGGCCCATTGACCCACATATTTGACAGGTCTCTGTACTGTATTTGACGTAGTGTACCGTACTAAAACGTACATAATTTTGTTCTCATAAAAACCATTAGTGCGGCCCGGGGTGGCCCCCACCCCATTTGGCTCCGATTGGGGGACGCCAGATACCCAGTCCAAGAGACCCACCAGGTGTTTGGTGTTACTGTAGCCATGCGTACAGTACCGTAACCTTGCGTACATATGTTTTCGGTCTTCATGGTGTTTGTTCACCCCTTGCGGGGTGTGCGCCGTTCCCAGCGGTAAGTGCAATGCTGGGCCGACGCTGTCCGGCGAGAAGCAAGCTTCTGCTAACCGAACCGATTCCAAAAATATGTTAATCTCTATACATCCACATGGGATGTGTATCGGAGATTAAGCCGATAAGAACTTACAGATTGACGTTTATTAGCAAATTCTCGGCCCGAGGGCCGGATAATGCGGCAGTAAAACAATCTCGAAAGAATACACGAAATGACACGCAGGTCATTTAAATTAGGGGCTTTACAACATTTTCAGGGAGAAATTGTGGGAATCTATTGATCACAAATGGATGGGAGATTCGGGAGGGGGCACGAAAAATTTACATTTTAAAAGATAACTAGCAAATGGATATCGCTTCATTTATGCTTGGTATTGGCGGTGGGCGGTGATGTGCTCGACGTAGGCATCTCTTGACCACTTCAGCGCATCGGCGACCATCAACTTCTTCATCAGCGCGGCGTACTTGACGGAGACGGCGAGTCGGCGCAGCACGTTGTCGTTTTCTTGGTCCCATCCGCCGAGTGGCCCGACGATGAAGGCGTCCAGGAACGTGTCGTAGCCATCCGCGTTGAACTTGTTGAAGATGTCGGCGTACTTGCGGAGCTTCTCGGCACGTGCGGCAGCGAAGACGCTCAGGTCGTGGTTCTCGAACGGCATGGTCACGTCCACGATCGTCACACGCTTCTTCACATGGTCGACGAGGGCGAGATCGGGACGTAGTTGACCATCAGTGCCGGGGATCTTGACATTGACATATTTCGTGGTGGTCGCGGGCAGCTTGATGGCGTTGACGAGGCGGTCGAGGACGGCGTTGTGGCGCAGGGTGATGGCGTGGGCGTGAGCAGGGCAATGACACAGGACGTGGGCGACACTCTCGAGTTGGTAGCCACATCTTCGGCAGCGCTTGTCTTTTTGATCACGGGCACGGTTGCAGCCATTTAGTGGAACGACGTCGAGTCTTGCACGGTGAACGAAGCGCCAGTCCGCAAAGCGGATATAGCGTCCGTCACGCAGGAAGTAGTTGGAGACGGGCTGGTGGGCGGTGATGTTGTAGACCTTGCCCTGGCTCTTCTTGGCGGTGAGGTGAACGAGCTGAGCTTGATGGACGGCGCGCTTGAGCATCCTTTCACACGTCTTCTTGGTGACGCCACATCCGAGCACGAGCAGTTGGATCTTGTCGTTGGTCCACGTCCACTTCACATCGAGCTTGTCGGTCTTGACGAGGTGGCCGGTCGCTTGTCGCACTCTTGTCCACATGTTGCGGGTGTCGGCGTAGTATGTCTCGAAGGCGCCGTCAAGCTTCTGGTTCAGGTAGTCGGCCACTTCGGAGTCGGTTGGAGCACGCTTGATCTTCTTCTGTACAGCCGTACGGAGCAGCTGAGCAGTCATTGGGCCGAGATCAGTCGACTCCAACAACTGGACAGCATGCACCAGCTGCATCACATCGGCGAGGGTCTTGGTCTGGATGAGGCCGAGGCCTCCCATGTTGTGCGGCAGGTAGACGACTTCGGGGCTAGCTTGACTCGGGAGGCTCATCCACGACTTGGCGAACTTCTTCAACTTCTTGTCGAACGGGATGAGGTGCTTCTTCTTCTCGACGTGGCCATTCTTCAGATGGAAGGCGATGCAAGGCAGGATGAAGGTGTTGAACTGATATGAACGACGCTGTCCGGCGAGAAGCAAGCTTCTGCGAACCGAACCGATTCCAAAAATATGTTAAATCTCTATACATCCACATGGGATGTGTATCGGAGATTAAGCCGATAAGAACTTATTAACGTTTATTAGCAAATTCTCGGCCCGAGGGCCGGATAATGCGGCAGTAAAACAATCTCGAAAGAATACACGAAATGAGTACGGTAAGCGATTTCCAGCGATATCACATTTATAGTGGCTGCTTGCCTACGCTGCTACCTACCTGGCTGGCCCCCCCAGCGGTTGATATCCAGGTCACCGGAAGTCAACTCAAGATACCAATCGGTAGTTATGCGTTACTGTAGTCATGCGCACGGTTACGCAGCCATCGGTAATGGTTTTTATATTTATATGTTTTAGATCGTTCACCCTATGCGGGGTGTGCGCCGTTCCCAGCGGCATGTGCAATGCTGGACCGGTGCTGTCCGGCGAGAAGCAAGCTTCTGCGAACCGAACCGTTTCCAAAAAAGTTTGGCCCATTATGCTACCACATATTTGACAGGTTTCTGTGCTGTATTCGACGTAGTGTATCGTACTGAAACGTACAGAATTTTGTTCTCATAAACACCATTAGTGCGGCCCAGGGTGGTCCCCACCCCATTTGGCTCTCATACCCAGTCCAAGAGACCCATCGGGTGTTTGGTGTTACAGTAGCTATGCGTACAGTACCGTAACCTTACGTACACATGTTTTCAGTCTTCATGGTGTTTGTTCACCCCTTGCGGGGTGTGCGCCGCTCCCAGCGGCAAGTGCAATGCTGGGCCGACGCTGTCCGGCGAGAAGCAAGCTTCTGCGAACCGAACCGATTCCAAAAATATGTTAATCTCTATACATCCACATGGGATGTGTATCGGAGATTAAGCCGATAAGAACTTATACTACACATTGATCTTAGCCAAGGGCCAGAAGCGATACAGGCTTCATCAGTTGATGTGTCATATCCGGTTGGAGTGGGCCAGGCGGGGGGCGGGGCGAAACGGGGTCAGGGCGCGCACACGGGGCATGCAGGGGGATCGGGTCAGGAGGGGGTCTCCCGGCCCTTTTGGGTGACTGGGGCAGTACTTCCAATAAAAAAATTACGATTCTAGTAAATTATAATAGTATCGATTCGTTTAGCTTCGATTATACCTATAGGGGGGACCACGACCCTTCTGGGGGACTTAAGTTACCACTTCCAGACCGGCGCACTAACGTGTTAAGGAAAGGGTTTCGGGAATAATACTAAAAATGAAGCATTATAAAAAAACATTAATAACGGTTTAATAAATAAATTATAAATTTTGTCATCTAAAATTTAATATGTTTTATTTCACCACTAATACGGATTTTTGGCGTGATAGCCAATGTAAGCAAATTCGAACCGCCATATCTCTGCGCCCCGTTGAGCTATGGTCATGTAAAGTATACCAAAATACTCGCAAGACCAAGACGAACATTTTGGTATACTTTACAACCTGGTAGCAGCAGAGAGGGCTGAGCAACAAAAGGTTCGGCCCGGTGGGGATGTCTGGTTTTTAGCCAAAAGTGTGCTTAATTAAGCTACCAAACCACAATATAGTAGGTATTTCAGGTCAAAACACCGGAATTTCGGTAGGTATACTTACTGTACCTATTTCTAGCTGAAAAATTCGAGAAAAAAATGTGATTCGTCAAAACTGAAATTCAACGATTTTCGAAGCTTTTAATGATGGAACCTTTTGCCCAAGCTTGCATAAATTTTTGTAAAGAGCTATTTCGGTGCTTTCGCCTTATCGGGGGGGGGCTTTTCTTAGGATGCAATTTTTTGACTGTTAAGAAGGCCGTACTTCTAAACTTAAATTTGGCTACTTACTGTGAACGACTTTAGTCGCAAAAATTCAAAATTTAAGGCTAGAAAAAAGTGTGATTCGAAAAAAAACCAACATAAAAATGTTTCGTGTCGGCTCATAAAAAATCAAATGGCCATTCAAATAAATTGAAAATGTGTAAAATTGCATTCTAATAAGATGATTGCTTAAATTATAATGCATGAAAGCAGTTACGCCAAGTTTTTTACAATAAAATTGAATAGGTTAGAGTGCAGTTTACCCCCCAGCCCTAACTTTTCAGCCATACGTCCTATTAATGCGCCGAGTATCTCAAAATGTTCGCCGTGGTCGAATTACTATAAAAAAGTTGTTTTCTTGCGGCAAAAATTGCTAAAAATTTTCGCTATTTTTTTCGGCTCAAAGGTACTGTAGGCTTATTCTCCAGAGCAAGAGCTACATTTTGGTACCATTGACAGCTCTGTACGTCAAAAGATAGCCGAGATACGAAAACTCACTTTGGAACAGCAAAAATTAACTAAAGAGAACCCAGACTTATAATTGTTATAAAATTTTTTCTAACAATTTTTAATGTAAGAAAACAACTTTTTTATAGTAATTCGACCACGGCGAACATTTTGAGATACTCGGCGCATTAATAGGACGTATGGCTGAAAAGTTAGGGCTGGGGGGGGGGGTAAACTGCACTTAAGCCATTGAATATTTTTACAAAATATTTTACCCGGTTTTGTATATATTTTTGTAATATCCAACGTCCATTGTTTTATAACGTATATGAACGTGGTAAATTACACAGACCAATGAAAGCGCCGTAGCCGTGGAGGGTGGCGAATGAGGTCTCGATCGGTTGCAGGATACGCGTTTGGGGAACCACCTGAAAAATGTTTTAGCAGTTAAAAGGGTCGAATACCTCAAAAGTCCAATTATAGCGGAAAGTGATGAAATCATCTGGAGACAGAGGGGATACTGTAGCCACCGAGAGAGCCATCTTTTAATAAACACAGAAATACACGGGGAAACGGTAGAAAAAAAAATGAGGAAATTGAGCGCGAGCTTCTAAGAGGAGCCACAGGAAGTTAGGAAAGGATTAAAATTGAAACATTCGAAATTTAAAGTCTGATATATTATTCTAAACTCTATATTTCTGACTGTCTCTCTCGCCTCTCTCGTCTCTCTATATCTCTCTCTCTCTCTCGCTGTCTCTCTCTGTCTCTCTCTGTCTCCCTCTGTCTCTCTCATTTTCTCTCTCTATCTCTCTCTCTCTCTCTCTCTCTCTCTCTCTCTCTCTGCCTCTCTGTCTCCCTCTCACTCTCCCTCTCTCTCGGCTGCCTCTCCCGCTCTCCATATAACCCTATGGGTGCGCTAGCGGCGTTCTCAGATTTGAAAAAAGTGTGTTTCAAGAATTTATGACCCTAAACCTAAAAAATGGCCCGTAATATTCGTCTTTTTAAATTGCGGTTTTACATTATTATTCTCATAGCATTTATTCATCAAACAAAAAATAATATTTTCCCATTCCGTGAGTTTCATCCAAAAACGCTGACCCTGCAGACGACGCCCAACACCAACACGTAGCATTTGAACGTAAGGTTTCGTTGGTCCTAAACGGGTCAATCAAGTTAAGCATTTTATTAATTTTTAAATTTTTTAAACACATTTTTATTGTTGAAAAGGCCTTATTATGCTATCTTCAATCGATACTCCGAGCCAACAACACACCTTTGGATTTCTATGGGCCAGCAATTGTCGAAAAGCATCAGCAACTTGCGGGTGCGTCCGTCGAGTTGGCATTCTTAACAAATAGGGTTTTCTTTAAAACCAGGGTTGAAAAACCGCTTCGCGGCTTTTCAACCCTGGCCTCGTCTAGGATCGATGAAGTTATTGACTTTGCATAATTCTTGCCGAAAACCGCTCACCAAAAATGAAAAGCGCGCCCTCTCGTCCTTTTTATAAACCATTTCCACTTCCGGCGTATGCTAATTGCTTCCTAACAAAGAGGTTGGCCGAAAACTTTACAAAAACCTATTTTTAATAGCGAAAACCGCAATTTTTCAAAAATTTTTATGCGTGTGCAGTCGATTCCGGACCATTCTAAACCTATTGTCGTTTCTTCCCTATCCAAAAAACCCTTCCCCGAGGCTGTAGGAGCGGAACATCCTAACGGAAGTGCATGCAAATATACACACACACACACACACACACACAGACACTATTTTTTTATATATAGTAGGATAGGATAAGCTAAATGCTATAAATATAAATCTATAAATAAAAAAATAAAACTATAAAAGTTATCATTATCTTTGAATTAAAGCGATTGGCAGTCGTGGATTGATACTTTGATACTTTTGCGGATTTTTTTACGATGCCACATTGGTTTTTCGCACCGCCTGTTTTCCCAGTTATTTATCGGAACATAATTTTTCTCGGCTTTCTGAAAGTAAACAAAATAACTGAATAATAATGAAAATAATCAATAAAAACTGAAATAATTTGAGTGCTTTCGCATTAGCGGGGGAGAGAACTTGCGATCCCATTTTTCTAATATAAAGCGAGGAATTGTTTCGAAAATGTTTTTTTTTGCTATTCCCAAACTTAAAGCATAGCAATGCTGATGAAAAAATAGAAAAATGTCGATTTTTCGACAAAAATAAAAATTTTCACAGTGTTTTGGATAGCTTTCCGCTTTAAGTATAAAACCATTTTAGTAATAATGCTATTAAAACACGGACATTGCTACGCAGTTCTGAATTTCCATAAAAAAATTCGCCCACCACTCCACCCCCGCCGAAAACGAACGCTGAGATAATACCTTACCTGTTCACTGAATTATATAAATAACATTTAAAATGGTAGATAAATATCTTAAATTAAATTTGGTAAATATATCAGTTCGGCAGGAAGAATTCACGTAAAATTCCTTGGGCTCGCATCGGTTCCCAGGCAGCGTCATCTTAACATGGCAAATATTATGCTTGTTGTGGGCCGGAGATGAAACATCATTTTTGCCAAAAATGTTGCCGATCTTGATCGGTAGAAGTTACTCAAAATTTATATGTTTTGCACCATTGCCAGTTAAACTGCTGGGCGAAACCTAATTAATATTTTCTGGTATTCCGTCTGATTGTTTAATAAGGCAATTCTCAATGTAAAACGGTTTTTGAGGCTTCACAAAACCGAAATCGATTAAGAAAAATTAAGCATAACTTGAATCAATTAAGGTTAGAAATGATAAATGATTAGTGTAAAATGGACCTGAAGTACTTTTAATTTGTCTGTTAAATGTACTAATTTTATTATTTTTATTTTACGTTGTTGTTTATTGTTATTTTTATTTTGTGTTAGACGTATTTAATGCGCGCCTCATAATCAACTATCTACAATTTTAATAAAAGTATCGGAAACGGTTCAACAAGGCTTATGCGCACTATCAATTGATTAGTCTCTTTTTTGCCGCTCCCGAGTGAAACATACGCTGCGTAAAACGGGCGATTTGCGCAAATTGTCTTTGCTAGGTCGCCAATATTAAAGGAGCATGGAAGAGGATGAGCACGAGGTATTTCTCTGTGTGTGTCTCTCTCTCCCAAAAACTAGAGTATTACTTTGATACAAGTCCAATCTCTGAGCACTCGATAGCCATCTCCCCCTATTTGTTTGCTAGGGTCTATAAGGGCAAAGGGGCATTTTTTAGGTGGTGAGACTGTCTGTCTGTCTGTCTGTCTGTCTGTCTCTCTCTCTCTCCTGTCTACTGTATGTTTTGTTAGTGAAGGGGGAGGAGCTGTTTTGGGGGTGTGTGGAAAAGAATGAGGTAGGGGGATTCCCCCTTCCCTCCTCTTTCCCCCCAGAAACATCACTTTTCATGGAGGCCTTTATCGTGGAGGTTCGTTTTTATGTATATTTGTTACATATTTTATTTACGTGCTCTAATAGATTAAGATTACATTAAATTATTATATCGACGGGGAAACCGAGGGGTACTGTAGCCTCATTTTCATCGCAATTTTCAGAGGGTAATTTTGGCCACAGTTGTTAGATAAACTTGTTTTTCTGAAAAAAATGTTTCGGAGAAAGCTGAGAATTAAATAAAAGTTTTCCCGTTCAATTTGTCAAACACCCTCGCTACCTCTAATTTTTATTGAGTTAAATCTGTTTACGGTATTTTGCGATAAAATTCGCCCCTTGCCAAGATGCTAAATATTCATGGCGGAAGCGTGGGAAATTTGGCATTTATTGGCAACCAGCAAATTCCAAGAAACTCGCCTTTCATCGAAACTTTTCTTTGAAATAGCCGATGAAATTCTATTCCCGTTTATTCAGTAAAACGGTGGTGATTCGTCATATATTATCCTATTACCATTTTATTTAGTTAATGACTTTAAAATCTTTTATTTAATGCAAAAAAGTTAAAAATCAAAACTTGGTGGCTAGGCGAAAATCTACAACTTTTACAAATTTATGTTTTACTTCAAATCGGACTTTTAGGGGCATGTAGCTCTAGTTAATGCAGGTAAGTACGCTTGTTGATCCTCAAATTTAAAAAACCAACATTTTTGACCACGGTTCGAATTAAAATTCAATGTTCCGATAAAAATTCCTAAGCTGAATAAGGGTTTTCGCATAATAATACACAGTTGTGTTTATTCGGAATTAAAAGAGGGGAAATCTTAAAAGTAAATAAATGGTAAATAAAACAAATAATTTTGCACATATTCTTTCAGAATGCAACATCGACCAGCGGCCAGCTTTTCGCCAATTTTACCACCCAACTCGGCGATGAGATGGTGGAGCCGCCCGCGTGGCAAAGTGGGTTTTATTTGCTTAATTCATTTAATATGATACTTTGGATATTTATTCCTTGTTTCTTCCATTTCTGTATGATTTTTATAACGACCGTGCGATAACAACTCCCAATCCAATTTTTTTTGTTGGTTTGAAGCGCCACTGTTTGAACCAGATCAGTAGTATCAGGTTGGAAAGAAAGTAATGGCACAAAATCTTTAAACCGCTGTAAAACCCCGCAGGAACGTCCGATTTAAAAGTTTGATCTATGGTTTGGTAGATCTTCGGATGCTCTATCACGAGAGGACCCTCAAAACACCCAAAAACTAATGTACGCGAAAATACAGGCCTCAGAAAGTTTCACGGAAAATTAGGTGAAAGCTTCTAAGCTAGATATCTCTGCATACAGGCATTTGCATACGAGACTTCTAACACCAATCGATAGCCCTCGAGGAGTAGATATCGATAGATGTTGAGATCATCAAAATCGGACACTGGATGGCCGAGATATGAGCCTTCCAAAAACAACGCATTTTCTGGATTTTGGTTCGTGAGCTGAAGCAAACGCAGCAGTTTTTGGCTCGCGCAGGCCAAAATGTATGGGATTTCGAGAAAAGTTCTAACAGGTGGACCAAAATTCTAGGGGCCATATCTTGGCCATCCAATGTCCGATTTTGATGATCTCAATATCTATCGATATCTACTCCTCGAGGGCTATCGATCGGTGTTAAAGGTATCGTATGCAAATGCCTGTATGCAGAGATATCTAGCTTAGAAGCTTTCACCTTATTTTCCGTGAAACTTCTGAGGCCTGTATTTTTGCGTACATTAGTTTTTGGGTGTTTTGAGGGCCGTTTCGTGATAGAGCATCCGAAGATCTACCAAACCATATATCAAACTTTCAAATAGGACGTTCCTGCGGGTTTTCACAGCGGTTTAAAGATTTTGTGCCATTACTTTCTTTCCAACCTGATATTATTTTGGATGCGCAGCGAGGCTTTTTGCTTTAACGAAGCATGTATTTTTAGCCTTGAAAATCCGTGTTTTTTTCACGAAATTTTGGATATATTTTTGAAAGATTTGAAGGTTCCGGCATACTCGGTATTGAAAAAACAGAGATTATGGAATTCCTTGTCTTGTCTCCTATATCCTAAACATCATCATCACCACCTCAGCAAATTTCAAGACCCCCATGAAAATTTGATGTTTCGTTAAATTATTGCCACAACTGGTTGCCGTTAGCGGTATCGAACTTTGCAAGAATTTTTTGTAGTTTTTGAATGTCAGTGAAACCAGTGAGCCGAATCAAATTTTACTATTAATTCTATTAACCAGAATAAAATACAATAGTGACCATTATTTTTTGAATGTTTCGTACAAAGAGAAGATCGAGGGCGCGAGCTAATATTTACCATCTTCTCGAGCCCGCTAACGAACATCACTCAAATTCCGCTGTCCCTTTTTGACGGCCGGAAGGGGGATAGAGAATGGACAGACAGACAGACAGACAAACAGACATACGGACAAGTTAGTAGTCAGACAAACAGAATCCGCATCAAAAACTAATCAGAAAATTTGTATATTTCTACCCAAAATTTTTCATGTCTAGCAAAATTTCTAAAATCTAAATGCTTCGTAAAAAATTGAGTTTCATTGCAAAAAAGTACCAAAAATATAGCCGGTCAAAACAACTTTCTGTGGTCGATTGCGTGCCAAAATCTAAAATTTATTACCGTAACCGATTCTCAGCCGAGATTTCATGATTTTCAAAGCATTTTAGGGTTTTTCGAGATTTTTTGAACAGTTTTGAGTCTTGCCGACCCCTTTGAAACCGAAAAAATACCGTATTAGTTTTAAAGCTCAGAAGATCAGATACGATCAGAAAAAAAAATGGGGTTTCATTGTAACAGGCACCAGAGAGAAAACGCAACAAAACAATTCCGTCTCGATTTCACGTTGAATATCAGTTCGTAATCGATTTTCCAGGTTGGAATTCCACGTTTTGCAAACCATTTTCTGGTTTTTCGGAACTGACTGGGTTTTGAAAAATGTGGGTTTTCCGAACCCTTTAAAGCCTAAACGCCGTATTAACTTTTTGAGGGACAGATAAGATAAAAAAAAACAAGTTTCATTGCAAAAAGTACCAAATATCGAGCCGGACAAAATAATTCCCTTGCCAAGTTGTTTCATCATCAAGTTTACAATTTAATACGGTAACCGATTCTCCAGGCAGGGATTTTACGATTTTCAAAGCCGCTTACGCTTTTTAATTTTTTTTCAGAACTGAGTCCGTTCTACTAAACTAAAAACTCGTATTAATTCTTTAAGGGGCAAAGAGGACAGGTTTTGGCAAAAAAAAACAGGTTTCGTTTACACTCGGTAGAAAACAATTCAGCCTCAAATTGTGCTGACCGAACCCCATAAAATCTAGCGGCACCCGCGAGACGCAACGCGTACGCTTCGTGCTAGAATAGGCCTAGTTCTGCGGCGAACAAAACGCGCGTGGCGCGCGCTTTGCCTGTTACAGTGTATACACGTAACGTCTTACGTCTTGCACGTCGCGTAGCGTCTGCGTTGCGTGTCATAGGTGTTGCGTGTAGCGTACGGCTGCGCGCGTGGCGTGTCGCGTTGGGTGTCGCGCATCAAACCATACAACGAAAGCATTTCTGATTAAAGACGCCGTGCCAGGAAACGAACAAGCAAGCTCTAAAGCGAGAGAGCCAGAGAGGGAGAGAGGACAGAGAGAGAGACAGAGAGAGGCAGAGAGACAGAGAGAGAGACAGAGAGAGAGAGAGACAGATGGACACAGAGAGAGAGAGAGAGACAGATGGACACACAGAGAGAGAGAGAGAGAGAGAGAGAGAGAGAGAGACAGATGAGACAGAGAGAGAGGAGAGAGAGAGAGAGAGAGAGAGAGAGAGAGAGAGATAGAGAGACAGCTATGACGAGTATGTACTCTGCATCTCGTGTATACATCCAAAAAGACATCAACAAACACCTGTCCCCCCCCCCTTTTCTGACAAATCATCGAGTCGTGACCGTGTGCCTCTCTTTTTCCATTCAGGACCCCCTCACCCACTCAATATTCTTCTCTTTTCTCGTGATTCGCCCCCTAAAAGATCACCCTAGTAATCTCTTGGTAAAGGGGTCGAAAGTTAGTAGATGTCTCGCAAAAAATTGAGGGATCAAAAAAATTATGTTTCAAAAAAGGAACATGTTGGTTCATATCTTTGCCCGCTAATTTAGAGGTGAATAAGAGTAGTAAAATTTCGCTGAAAAAAAATTATGCAAGATAAGAATTTTGAAGCCGTTGTTAAAAGCTGTAATTCTCGACATTTTATGGCTAACAGTCGCCGAGAAATTCCGATCGCCTGAAAACTCAAAAATTTGTATCCCGATAAAATGTTTCTCGAAACTTTAACGATAGCTCTCTTTTTAATAGGCCAATGCTATGACCATTCGAAACTGTAAACATAGAGAAATTCGATCCCATGAAATATTCTTGATGCTAAAAGTTTGTGCAATAAGATTGTCATCTAATTTAATGTCTTTTAAAAATTTATTAAATGTCATCGAATCAATGACCCAACAGTTTCAACGAAAATCGAAAAGCATCGGCCAATTTATAAATTCTCTTCCGAGGAAATGTTTCCCAAAACTTTAGCCATTGACTGCTTTTTCATGGCTAATGGCGAACGCGAAGCCAGTTCAAAAGTTCCATAGAAATCGTGTTGAAAAAATCGCGTGAAATAAGGTATACGTTCTACAGGGTGTCCCAAAAAAAACCCCCCCCCTATCCAGCCGCAGACCTGCCTAATTTTTTACGATTTTGGTATCTATCGAAAGCTCTCGGAAAGGCGAGTCCAGCACGGCTTGCCGATTTTCGAAATGTCGAAATTTTTTGCTCGATTTTTGGCCTTTTTCAGGCAAAAAGGACTCGCTTTTTTGTCCAAAACGCAGTTTAACCGGTTTAAGCGCTATCCAAGCTGTGTTTTCGCAAACGGCTTTCAAAGAGCTGTCGTTGGGCTGCCAGGAAAGGCATAAAAAATCTTAAATTGCGATTTTTGTAAAAAACGCCTTGTCAGAAAAACATCAGAAAATCCGCGCGTTTCGCAAAAAACATTAGTAAATGATAAAAAAATTTCGACATTTCGAAAATCGGCAAGACGTGCTGGACTCGCCTTTGCGAGAGCTTTCGATAGATACCTAAATCGTAAAAAGCGAACAGGTCTGCGGCCGGATAGGGGGGGGGGGATTTTTTTGAGACACCCTGTATATGTAGTGCTCCTGAAGCCGCATAACCACAGTAGTTTTCGAAATACCTTTTTTGATCGTTTTTGTAGGGCTTTTCCGGGATCGGACCCCTAGACATTAAGCGGAAATGAGGCCAAGCTTCTTGGTCACAGCAATTTTTTTCCAAGAAGTTTACCCGAGAATAAGGTAATCCGTCAGTTCAAAGCGCCTACAATCTGTAGAATCCTTCTGACGATGCTTTGAAATACTCTCTCGTTCTCGCTCACTCGCTCTCTCTCTATCTTTCTATCGCTCTCTCAGCATCGTAAATTGGTGTATTCTCAGAGCTTAAGCCTTACTACCGTTACAGTCTATTTTTAATGTTTCATCTCCAGGCTCACTTTCCGATCAAACGCACTGCCGTTCACACTCTTGAAAAATCAGCCGACACATCGATTCTATTAAAGGGGCGGCAGGCAAAAAAAGGGAGGGCCTCCCTCGAACGGGGCGAGAAACGATGAGAGCCAACGATTAGAAGATCTACCCACAGATAAGAGAGAAGAGAGAGGGAGAGAGAGAGAGAGAGAGGGGGGAGAGATGAGGGAAAGAAAGGCCAGGACCCAACGTGGGATCCGATTGGAGCGCGCAACGAATTTCAGACACCTAGGCGGGGAGTGAAATGTTATTTTAGGGGCTGACGTGGGGTGAGGAAATCCTTTAAAATGGCGTAATTAAAGGGAAAGTGACAGAGAGGGCCGCGAATGCGTGTGGGTGCGTCGCGTGCGATTTAAAGCCGCATACAGAAGTAGTGAAAAACTTATTTATTTTTTGAAGACTTTTTGACGGATTAGGTGAACGTAGTGTGTACCTGTGTTCAGTTACCTACCTCGTTTATCCAAAATTTTACCCGCAAAGGAGTGACACACATCTATGTGAAAAATTAGCTAGCTAATTTTTTTCTAAACTATAAGGTTGAAAATGTCGATTACATGGGCTAATTAACTTAATTGAAGGGAGGGTGCCAGCGTGTTATTCCGGGAGCGTTTAATTTTTAAAACATTTAAATTTTACTAGGCTTCCAATTAATTTAAAAAAATTAATCAAACAGAAATAATTTTTTTCATCTTTAATTACTTTATGAATTGAATTTAGCAAAATTAAAAAAAATGATTCATAAGCTGTCCGACATGACAGCCGTATGAATAATCTTTTTCCATCCTTACGACATTTCGAAATTTTTTTAAAACATAAAAATTTAATGTAAATTGAGATATTTCAGCATGGCTACTGGGACTGGCTGTGGTGACGGGATGTTCATTCTCAGCTCCACTTGGAATGCTTGTCGTTCCATTACTCTCAAAAAGGACATATGAAAGAGTGATGACATTTCTTATTGCACTCGGCATCGGTAAGTAATATCCTATCCTACTATATATAAAAAAATAGTGTCTGTGTGTCTGTGTGTGTGTGCCACTCTGCATCCACTTCCGTCTGGCTGTCCAGAGGATATCTCAAGAACGGACGGATATTAGGCTACGTTCGATACGTCATTAGGTGCGTTATGGTCTAGGGATGACTGCACACATATCAGATTTTGAAAAATTAGCCATTTTCGCTATTAAATTTAGGTTTTTGTAAAAACCTCTTTGTTAGGCATAATTAGCATAGTCCGGAAGTGGGCGGTCGTCTATATAAAGAGGCAGACGGGGTTCTTTTTCATTTTTTTTTGCCTTCTGAATGAAGGACAATTATGCAAAGGGTGGAATAGCATGGAGTCCAAGACGGGTCCAGGGTTGAAAAGTCGCGAAGCGGCTTTTCAACCCTGGTTAATAAAATTAAGAGTATTATTTTTCTTTTACACTTATTATCTGTTAATATTATAATACTAGAATATCCTTAGTAGTTTTTGATGGCTAAGAAATTACAAAAATTCATTTCATAAATTGAATAAATTGAACAATTTGACTACATTTTGCGATGTTTCATTCATAGGCAAAAGTCAAAATTTACCTAAGCTTTAATTTATTTGGGGATTTTGGTATCTAATAACTTCGCAAATTCTATAAAAATGAGTATATATTTATTTAAGGGCGGTACCGCCCCCTTCCCCCCGTTAACACACCAGCACCTTTCCAGGCGCCCTCTCCGGCTCGACGCTCTTCGTCATGATCCCGCAGGTAGATTCAATTTTTTAAGTTTTTTGGAATAAATGAAACGATCTTTATCAATGATACTAATTTTTAACATTTTTAGTTAAATTTGATTTTTTTATGCAATTTATATTTCTTAAATACGGATGGCATAAAAGAGGGATTAAAATTTGAAGAAAAAATTAATTTTAGCTAGATTTTGAAACCCGCTTTTTCCAATAAAAATTTTTTTCATCTTTATAACTTTACCAATTAAATTTAGCCAAATTAATTGAATTTAAGTTTATTTAATTAATTTATCTTTTTGACACTTAGAACAAAAAATTTAGCCACTTTTGAATGTGGACTGCCAAAAGAGATATGAAGCTCCTAACTAAATTTTTCTAAAAAATATGATTTTGGAAATTCTTTGAAACGCAGATGTTTTGCAAAATTTTTACTTTCCCGACATTTTTAGGCGTTTAACCTGGTGGAGCTGGCCGGGCAGTACGACTACAAGTTAAAATGCTGGATAATTCTCGGCGCTCTCTACACGTTCTTTTCCGTCGATAGGCTGTTGATGTACGGCATTGAGCTACGCAAGGTAATTTACTGAATCGACAATCTATTTAATTGCTCATAAAAAAATTTTATAGACAAACGACAATAACGACGCAGTCAGTGACTTAATTCAATCAAATTTTTGAACTCGAATAGTAAATTTTTTTGAAACCTTCAATTTTTGCGCGCGTATTTTTAGAACCGGATACTATTGAAAAACCAGAAGGAATTTTTTTTGGGTGGTTTTTTGAACAAGAAACAAAGACGCTAACAATACTCGAATTATTATTTTTTCTGAACCCTAGACTAGATAAAACATTTTTTACTCATTTTGCCTTTTAATTTTCTTCTATTCTTAATTAATATTGTTATTTAATGAATAACTATCGTTATTCCATACATTTTTATACCGTTTGTCGAGTCGAAAACAAAAGTAGAATCGATATGATGTAACCGTAAAAATTATAATTAGATAATTAGAAAAATTCGACGTTTTTTTAAAATTCCAAGCACGCTTTCCACACCAGACCATTTTTATGATTATCTTATTATTTTCCACAATTTATTATTTAGTAGACAATTCTTTGATGTTTTAAATGATATTTACTCGAAAAATCGGCAACCACAACGAAATGAATCAATTATCGAAAAATCTCGGGCTTAAGAATCAACTTTTTATTTGAAACATTCAATTTTTACTCGCCTTTTTGCAAATTTTAAATTGTCGAGGTGTTTTTTTGTATTGTAATTATGTATTCAATCAGATACCTGGAATTTAGTGAAAATATTTTACGAGAATTTGCTATACACATGTTTAATTTAAACTTTTTCGCTAACCAAAACTGAATAAAACATTTTATTTTTTGGGGTAGTAAACTTTGCTAGGCCATAATTATTCGATTCTATTTATTGAAAAAGTATGCAAATAAATAAACAAATAAAAATAAAGCATTTTTATAGCGTTTCGCGTGATAAAAACGCATGTAAAATTAATTTGATTTTAGCATTTAGTTATTTAGTCATTTTAGTGACAACGATAAAGGATATTATCTCTGCCAGCCATTTTCTCCATTCAGCCGATGCTAAAACACAATTTTTTAGCGCCACGTAACACGACGAAAAATCCACAAATCCACCCTGAATCAGGTGATGAAGCGGAAGACACCCGGAAGGAATCAGACCGAAAGCACTGGTTCGTCGGTCGAATTTTAATTGTAATTATTCGGAGAGGGTCTTGATTATTTTGTGCAAAACGTGTATTCTAAAAATAGACCGTTACCAAAAACTCACATGATCAGCATTTTGTAAAAAAATGTTTTAGCGAACAAACGGTTTCAACAGGGTGCATTTTCCTTAATAGGTATAGGCTTTGGTCTGCGTACTTTTGCATTATCGTGGGCATTAGTTTTGACCACAAGTTTTGAACGCCCCCACTAGCGTGACAATAATTGTTTTGACGGTTCTTTAATACACTTAAACTAACCTATTATATTTGAAAACCAGTTCTCGCTCCTTAAATTTCTAAGCTATTATTTACTTGTTGTAGCGGAAGATCTTTTTATAAAATTTGAATTAATATAGAGATTTGAAAAACGCGCCAAATTCGGTTTCAAAACACATGTTTTAGCGAACTAACAACTAATTCAAGAAAGCGAAATTTTCTTAATGGTGGCTGGGACAACCGGTTTAAAAAGCTACCATATGATTATTTTAACACGGATTAATTATTGAAGAACTGTAATAGAGGTTTTTGAACTTAATATGGAAATTTTTGGAAAAATCGTGTTTTATGAAGTGGACCTCTCGTATAAGGCTCAATTTCTCTTAATGTACCGATGTGTAATAAGGACCGAATCTTTAGGTTACGGTGTTTATGAAATAATAAGCATTAACGTATCCTAATCATTTTAATTAAAATAGGAATAATTTAAAATCCTTTCAGATATAAATTCGGAGAGCAGCAGCAAGAACTCGGTGCAGGACCGCGAGAAAAACGACTTGAAAGTACGGTAACTAGGTTTTTATGGGTTTGTTACTTAAATTACTCTATAGATAATACAATCAAATTCCCATTTTTCAGGACGAGCTCGAGATCGCCATGATCAACAACAATTTCACGCGAACGGTCAGGAATAAGTTACAAAATTCATAAATTTTGATATCTGTACACTTTTGAAACTTAATTTTTAATGGGAAGTTCATGGAACGCTATTAATATTCATACAATTAATGGATGGCAAGATTTTTTAGTTATTATATTTTATTATTTTTCGCTGCTCTCAAATCAATATAAACTCTAATATCTGAACCCTGAAGTGATGTTGTTTAATTAATTTACGAATTTTGGAACTTGAATTTCTAAATTTTTAGTAAGTTTTGCAATATTGAAGGTATATAATTACTTAATTGATTTAAAGATTTAAATCAATAGAAAATAATCCAAAATAGTACTATTTTAAACTTTCAGTTTTCAACGCGTAAGCGGATGGCGGTGCTGCGGGCCGTGGATAACCTGGATGGGATGGAATTTCGAGATGGCCACGGCCACAATACATTATGCCAGGTAATTCAGTAATGGAAAACGCGAAACGAATTGGAAGAAGTAGAATTGCGACGGCAAGCAGGTTTTTTGTGTTCTCTAGTGATGAAACATAAAAAATAATCCCATAGGGCCAAACTCCCCAGCACGTCCAAACTTAATTCGAGAAAAGTAAAGAGAAAGAAAAAAAGTACAAACAAAATCGATGTTTCATCACATTTAGCCATTGTCGGCTGCTATTCGTTGTTAAAGCCGAAAGTCGATTTTCCCCAAAAGTGTTTCATATTTTTCCCTCATGCCCATGAACTTGCAATTAACTTTTTTACCTGCACATTTTTAGTTATATAAAACCGAATACAATGTATTAGATGCGAAATACAAATTTTAGGGCAACGACTTTCTGCGCGCCGTGAACGAGGAGGCCCATGAAAGGGTAGGCTATTTTGGAACTCCAATTTTTATAAAATTCAGTGTTTCAGCAAAAGTTTAAAACGGCTTGAAAATTGGGTTCATTAATTCTGGAAATTTGGGCACAATTATATAAAAATTTAATATGATTTCAGAGCCCCGGAACACTACGATTATCACACGCGGAAAATGGGCACGCCCAAGAAAACCCAGTCTTCTACAGAAATAACAAGGTATGATTTGGTCCTTTTAGAAAAAAAACCCATGATTTTTAAGATTCTGGGATCATTTAAATATCGAAAAATTTATACGTTATTTGATAAATAACATCCTGGAATAACAGGCTTAATTTAATTGCATAAATAATTTTTTATGCATCTTTTCAAGAAAAAACAACAGCTGCAGTAACGATCAACCTTTGATAAAGATATTGAATTGTAGCTGAAACATTCAAATTGGTTGTGCGGTGTCATTGGTGCTTTTGCGCTATTAAAGTATTTTTAGACTAAACCTTGCCAATTATGATTATTCATTTTAATGATATTTTATACCAATTTAGTCACGAAAAAGTAAAGCTGTGCATAGCGATCATGAAACTGCCTGAATTGCTCGTACCTTTTCTATCCGAAAGTCTTGGAAATCGGAAACACATTGTTTTCATATAATTTCGAGTGTCTTCGATCTGGATCGCAATTTTTTGGAAGAAATATCAACCGAAGAAAATTGCGGAATTCAAAAATCGGAGAACACCGCTGGAGTTGCCTTTCTAAGGGGCTTTCGATCGATACCCAAGTCGTGAAAATCAGAGATTCATAGAGGGTTTTTGGTGTTTAGGTTCTGCCAGATATTTTATTTTTGAAAATACTTCCAGATTTTTATTATTTTGATTATTATCATATTAAATTTGTCGTATGAAACATGAAATATTTATTTTTATGAATTTTTAAAATTTGGGTTTGGAGAAGATTTTTCGCAGATCATATTGACCAAAACTTGTCCGGGACTTGTTTAAATAGGATTAGAAACACATATTTTTTTCCCTAAAGAGTTTTTGATTTTTTACGCCAATTATATATAATTCATTAAAGCTGTAAGTGTAGTATAATATATAAGAAATATAGAACGTAAAGGCTAACAAGAACATAAAGGAACTCTTTCATCGAATAGAGTCACTCTGATACGAAACATTCCTCGGTTTTTAGAACTCTGGTGACGATACGGTATCGCTGGATATTCAAGTCGTCGAAAAAAGGGTTATCGAGCCAGCCAAAATTGAGGTCAGCTATCAATATAATAAAAATAGAAATATCAAATTGACCTACATTAATGGAAATTTCTTGATTTTAAATCCGTGGGAAAGCCATGAATTTAGGTGGCCTCCGTGGCGTACATGATCATCTTCGGGTCGAGCGCCAACAATTTTGTGGATGGGATGTCATTAGGTAATTTGAGGAATTAAGGAAAAGTAAGGCCATTAAAAAGTGCAAAGAATTTGCCCTCATTGAATACCAATTTTTCTATTTTACCCCAAAAATTTTCGAAACACAGTTTTTTCACCTGCGGGCAGAATTTTTCTGGGCTGTAATAATCTAACTTTCGAAAAACATGGTTTTCTAAAAACGTTACTTTTTTTGTATTTGCTTACCAGAAATTTTTTGGAAACACTTGTTCCAAGTTTTTCAACAGATTTGATAATTAATAAGGAAATCTTTTCAGCAATTAAAAACAAAACTAGAATAAATAAATTTTGTAATATGGAATTTGTTTTTCTAGGAGCCGCCTTTGCCGATAGTATCGTTGGTGGACTGGGTATCGGGACGGCCGTCTTCTCCGAGCAGTTTCCACAAGAACTTGGTACGATTTCAGGCTACAGTAACCTCTGGAGGACACATATTCGGCAGTTTTATCGTATTTTCCATTCGAAATTCGTGACACACTATTTTTCAAATCGATTTATCACGAATTTCCGCTAATAATCATTGCTAGCTTGCTCTGATTTGTTGTGGACTTCAAGGAATTATTATATTCCGCGTGGTATCGTACTTTGATCAGCTGCTTAAACACTGGATTTATTATTATTTGCTGTATGTTGGGCTGTATCACGAGACGGATTTTTTCATGGATTATCCTAGATTCACCAGTTTTTTTGCATGGAAAAAATTGCAACATTATTTTTAAAGAAATTTCAGCGCTAGATTTCTGCCAAGGGTCGCTGCTAGCTTCCGCGTGCCTATCATTATTTAATTAGTTACCATTCCATACCCATTTACAAAATTTACTTCGACGTTTAGCTTTACAATGTCCGTTCTAAAAAGCTACCGTAACCCTAGTTATAGAATTTTTGTGTGCGAAATTCCTTGGGATTTCGTATTGCAAAAAACTTCCAACCTACATGGAATTACCCGAAATTTATAATATTTTCCGCTGGGGATTATTGAAACGCAATTTCGCAACTCGAGCATCGCAACCTTAGCGAGAGGCGACAAGAAGAGAGAGCGAGAGAGAAAGAGAGAAAGAGAGAGAGAGAGAGAGAGAGAGAGAGAGAGAGGAGAGGGAGAGAGAGACATCCTATCCTTTCCAGGTACCCTGGCCATCCTGGTGAATTCGGGTCTGGGTTTCCGGAAGGCCCTTCTCTACAACATGATCCCGATCGTTTTGTCGTACATTGGATTTGCAGTCGGTGTACTACTCGATGAGGTATATTCATACAAATTTGAATCATTGAGTTTTCACGGGTTTTCAAGGTACGGGTAAGGCTTAGCTATGGATTCGCTTAGAAAATTCCACGCCACGACACGCAACGCACGCGCACTAATTTGTATTGCGTAATCGATTACGACACATTAATAGGTGACGAGGCTGCGCGTTACGTGTCGCGGCGCGTCAAAATATAAAAAATCCATAGCCGGAAAAACGATAGACTGGCGTTCCCTGCCCTTTAATGAGTTAATAAAGTCGCAATAAAACGACCATGAACTTTGAAGGATTTCATGAATATTACTTAGTTATAACTTTTAATTATAGTGTTTCAACTATCACTCATTATCACCAAACTTTGGTATATTTATTACTGCCATTTCATGGGGGGAAAATTTTCAGGTAGACGAGGGATACGATGACTACATCTTTGCCGTCTCCTCCGGCATGTATTTGTATATATTCCTCGGCACGCTGGTTAGTTAAACTCTGGAATTTTTTTTTTAAGAATTCGTTAAAAAATAATATTATTTAAGCAAATTAAAAAATTCGGAGAAACAGAAATAAGCCTTTTTGGGAAATCAGGAGCGCAGGAATCTAACTCGCCATTAACGCGCAGTTTTTCCGCGAGAATCCGGATTTTTTCGAAACATATTTTGAAAACCGTTTTTTAACTTTAAATCCTAATGCCGAAAAATCCTTAAGTTAAACTCACATAAAAATGGTAGCGCATGCCTAAATAATTAAAAGACTACATTATTTGCGACGGAATATTAGCCCGTCTCATTCTGTTGGGAAAGGACCATTTTTGCAACATTTTTTAAGAAAAATCATGTTTCGACAAAAACAGACGGATTTACGATTTTCATCTAATTTTGATTAAAAATCCCTGAGGGCTAAATAAACTATAGAATTAAAATGTTTAAAATACCTTTACAAAAATGCAGACATCCTGCTTTTAAAAACATAAAAAAGCGATTTCGAGAAGCTGCGGCGAAAAACACACGATTATTTATTTTCCGCCCGGCGGCGTGGAAATTTTTGAACCATAAAAAAGTTCAATTTTTGGTTATATAACTCAAAAAATTGAAATTTACTGAAAAATACTTACAAGTGGACACGCTTTTTTTAAATTCTCCGAATATTCACATTTCCACTGATTTTTCTCACCTAGCATGAAGATTTTTGAAACATTTGAACTGTCGAGTTTTAGATACCAGAAATTCGGGAAGCCTGCCACGAATTGGCGAAAGAGGATCTACGCGAATCACTCGTCGTCACATTTTTGCAGATAAGCTAAAAGCAACCTTTTAAAATTGAATTTCGGAATTTGAATATTTCTTGAGATAGAGGATCGGCAAGAGAGATTAAAAGAGGTGAAGTAATTAAACTGGTATTTTGCGCTGTCTAACGCCACGTTTTTGAAACATAGTTTTGAGTGAGAAACTCTGTAAAGAAAAATTCTGTATTGTTTAATCCCCAGCCCTTTAAAACGCAATTTTCTAAACGTATTCGATTTGCTAAAAATTTTTCTTTTCGGAATGACGTAAAAATAGCGACAAACTTTCAGGAAAATTTGGTTTTCAGCTAAGGTATTCGAACATGCGACCACATTGATTAATGTCTAGCCACCCCGCTGCGAGCAATACAGTCTCGAAACTCCTTTTTTGTCGTTAAAAAAACGTTAAAAATGAATTTATTTTTTGATTCGGTCGCTTGCCTTGCACAAATACATTAAAAAATGGATAAAAATTACATTTTCGTTTTCATTTACAAGCATATTTTAAGGCTATATTTTCAGGTTTAACTTAATTTTATCGAAAAAACGGCATTTTCTACAGCCTGATGTACAACCACTGTCTCGCACATGAATTGGCCAGAAGAAAATAAATTTTTAGCGACAAACTAGCGAAACATCTTTCTAGAACCATAGGGAAACGGTCGACCTGAAATTTCGACTTTTAGATTTTGAAATTTAAACGCAATTGAATAAAAAAGTTTGGCGTTAACTAGACGAAGACCATTGACTTCTTTTATCCAAACTAGGAAAAAGCTAGGCCTAGTTCCGATCGATTTAGGCGCCCTAAAAATAAGTAAAAGAAAGTTAAAATGAGTTAAAAGATATGTATTCAAAGAATAAAAACAACATCTATAAAAAAACTTAAACAGCCTACCGTATCCCAAAGGAAAAAAAAATCAGAGTATTGTAAAAAAGCACATTTCAGGTGGTGGGCATTGCCGTTGGTGTGGGATTCCTGTTTGTGATGGGCGAGATGAACAATGAGGACATTTCTTGAGAAAATCTTACAATTAAAGTCCGTAATTTACAACGGTTGTGTGGCCAAATCAATCGCAATTTGTTTCTGATTCCTCGTCGAAACACGTTTTTTATAGTCTTCGAAATTTCCACGTAATTGTCCCCTCACAAATTCCCATTCTAATGTCTTGTCTTGAAACACAATTTTTTGGAAATTTTGTGCTCAGACTCCTCCTTGACTCCCGTGTGCTCACCACCTTGACCTTAATTCTGCTTCAACAAACGGGTCCTGTGTTTGATTTTGCTTTTCGCTAATAAAGTTTGCAAAGCTTCTTCAGATTTTGATTCGCGATCGGGGAAAATAATAGATTCTGGAAAAAGTGTTTCATCGATGAGTTAGGCAGTTTGATGCGGCATAATCTCACTGCGAAGTACGTAATAACGATGTAAGCTTTATCGAAAATCACAATCAATCAGTGAAACACTTCAAAATGCCGCTATTTCTCTCGACTCGGCGTCTTCTTATCGGGACTTGCAGCTGCTGCCGGCTCGGCCGATTTCCCGGGAGGCTGATCGAGCTTGATCTCGGCGACTAAATGGAACAAATTATTTCTAAGTTCACTTCACTTAAATTCTGTAAAATCTTGAATTCTTCTTAAAACAACTTCAATTCGATTTTGAAAATTATCTGCCTAAAAATAGCTTGTTTTAATCGAAAAATAATACCAATCCTTTAATTAATTTTAACGCCCTGTTAAAAATGCGTCTCAGGATTCATTAAATCTATTATACATTGTTCGTCATGAAAAAAATTTATTGCCAAGAAGGTTTGAGAAATTCGAAATGGCAGATCTTACAAATTAGCCAATTATTTAGTCGAGTTATTTTCAATAGATTTGAAACATCCCCAAAAAATTTTCCCATACTTAAATTTCGGCACTTTAGAACGATTTTTAATGCTCGCATAAATTCCACACAACACAAACAAAAAAACTTTCAACACAAAGATATCACAATTAAAAGCTATCAATTAAAAAGAAAGCCTGGGATATGTCCATCATTAATCGATTTTTTACCAGGGTTTCATTGAACATCTTTGAAACATATTTTTTTGCAGAAAAATGGAAATCTTTTTGAATGTCAGTTGTACTTAATTTTTAGACCAATTTAATCAATTAAAAGATTAAATTTAAATGCATACAATGCTTGCTCTCGGGCTGCCAATCCCATGGATATTCCTGGCAGCCATTCTTCTCGACGGCCTTTCGCAACATGCCAACCATTTGTTCGTAGTGGGGAAGGTCACGGTATCTAAAATTGGAGGGGGGTAGGCTAGCAGAGAGCATTTGAGGAAAATCAGGGGCAGGCTGGCTGTAATTCTTTCGGAAAATCGGAAGTCAACTAGCAGAGATTCTTCAGGAGAAAGCAAAGAGAGGAGAAAAGGCAAGCTAGCAGAAACCATTTGCTGGCTACAAAATACAACCCACTGCAGCTGATCGATATATTTCATGAGCACCACATATTCGCGTGGGCATCCCCCAAATAGGATGGCCATCTTTCCATCCGTTCGGGCCTCGTTTTTCATGCTGAAAGTGTACTGTAAAATTAAAAATTAGATCTAGCTTAAAAATCTAAGAAAAATAATAAAAAATGAGCATTACACTAAAATCTCCTCGTCCGCAGAGAGGTGCTTCCACGGCAGCCCGTTCGTCGTCATCTCGATCTGCAAAAACAACCCCATTTTATTTTCTAGCGTCGGCCACTTTAATTAGGCCCCCGGCTAATGCACTAGCTCCTGGAAAAAGCCTACCCAGATTAGCATAAAGAAACGTCGATGCAATTTAGCCAAAACTTGAAAAAATAAATCGCATAGGCTGCTCAAAAATTTTCGAAAATAAGTGTTTCGCATTTTTTTGGGGATACTTTGCATTCGCTGATTCTTAATTTCGGCGATGATGGAGTTGTTCGTTCAGCCCGCCTAATTAAACCCGCGTAATCGATTACGCAATTGACATGCGCACGTGCCCGTCGCGTAATGTGATTCCGATGAAATCTCTAGATCGTCAAATCCATTCGTGTCGTCCACGTCCCTTTAAAAGTTTTGTCACGGGGGTCCTTTAGCAAAAATAGATGTTTCACAATATATTGTAGACACCTGAACCTAGGGAATATCAATTTTATCGCAGCGCCAGATATTTTTTATCCCCAAAATAAAAAAATAGCTTACAGCCAAGTAGAGCCACATCTCCAGATCGTCCTTCCGGCACTGCTCCATTAACAGGTGGGCCGACAGCGGTGCGTATCTTAAAGTGGCAACACATCATCTTTATGCTTTAAGCGCTTTTTAATTGTTAGTTCTATCTAGTTTACTCGCCAATTAATGTTTCGAAGCACTTTAGTTGGTTCAAAAAACCTCTGAAAAATCAATTTTTCATCCAATTTGAGATTTCCCGAAAAAATTACAGAATTATTGATGACGATCATGGACCTTCGAAAATGCGATTTGTTGCAAATTCGAAAGTGCGCGTTTCAACCAATAGAAAAGTCAAGATCTTTTTGGAAGCGTGATAAACTTACCAAATTTGCAAAATCACTATAACCTCTAACTTGGCAAAAAAATTATTTAATACACAACCTGCGGGCCCATTAATGCATCAGTAGAAGGGTTATTTCATCTATACACTATTTTTGGAATATTTTTAGAGGTTTTTTCGCCTTAAAAAATGTGTGGCCTTAAGTACAATATCTGTATAAAAACAATGGTTCACCAAATTTCATAATCTCCGAAAAATTCTAAGTGGCTAGTCCCACCAACGTTCAATGCAGTTCAATATTTTTAGCTCTTTTTATGTTTCAAATAAAAGTGAACTTTCGGGATTTTTCTTGTATCAAATGGTCAATCCCCCGTTTCGCAGATACTTAATTTTGTTAATTTCCAGAATTCGTGTTTTTATCACATGAAAAATGCTATTATGCATTATCAAAAAAAATGTGTTTCCATTCTTTCCACAATCCACAAAGCCTTATTTTTATTAATCGCCTCTCGGTCATATTTATTGCATTACCATGCTGATCCCTACCTTCCAGTACCGCGAAAAGCGGCCACCTGTCGGGGCTCGCGTATCTGCCCTCCCGGTTCCGTGAATTTCCGCGCCATTCCAAAGTCCAGCATCACAATCTGATACCAAATTACGGTTTATCCTTTCATCAAAAGTCTCGAAAATTATTGTAAGCAGCTATCGTGAGAAATTATGTTTTAAATTTCTGTAACATCAAAGAACTTTCAAACATTTTTAAATATCCTAATTTGCTTTCATTAATTTTGTTCAGAGGTATAACCTCGAAAAGTATTAAAAACATCCAGAAATCTCGATTTTGCGAAGGTGAAAAACAGGGTACTGGGCGATTAACGGGGGGGGGGTTAGCCGAGGGAAACTAATTTTTATCTTTCAGCATACTGAAACTTTTCCTGTTAAAAATAGATAAATCATTTTTATCGTGTTTTTAGCCGCTTTGAATTGCCACAATTTTACAATTTGGTAAATTGGCTTGTTGGTCATTTTTCATGTATTGAACAAAAACATCAATATTTTCTCGTGATTACAGATTTTCATGTCCTTTTATTGCCAAGGAACGTTGTAACATGCTGTCAAAATGGTGATATTTTGCTAAAATCCTATATTTATCCATTTACCGAGGGGTATCTATCCACCTTTGCCCCTTTAATAAAATTCAAGTTATTGTCATTTTTAATAAATACCTTTTTCGGGTCTTCGAGCCCAACGGCAAAATTTGGAGGTTTTATGTCGCGGTGAAGGTACCTGAAAACAATCTTTTTCGCATCACACATTTAAAAATGAGTGTTTTAAAATTCTACAAAATTCCGAATTAATAATTAGCGCAATTTCATGCCGAGACCCACTCGAAACCGTGCATTTGCTGGATGGCCTTGAGACATTGGATCGACACCGAAATCGCACAGCCCAGCGACAGCATTTGGCGGCCTTTCGGCTTGGCTTTTCGGAGGTCCTGCAGCGAAATGCAGAGGTTTTCCAGACATGTGCAAATTGCTTTTAAAAAATTGACTCGTCTAAAAAGAAGTTCGCCATACAATTTTAAGCATTTTCGAGTGCGGGAAGGGTTTCAGACGCGCAATAAATATTTTGAACTTTACGGAAAAAATGTTTCAAAAATGATCAGTCATATTTAAAAATATTTTTTGCTAGTCCCATAAGCGCCGCCGCCTCAAATCCTTTCTAAAGCGATGCCAAGAAAAAGTAGAATTCGAAAACCCAATTGTTTTCAGGTTTTTGCGAAACAATGTTTCTCAAAAGTCCCAACCTCTACAGTTTATTGTTTTGATAATTACAATCTGAATAAATTTTATTTTAAAGGAATTTAAATATTGTCCATTGGTTATATTAACCTCCATTTGCAAGAATTTATGCTTTGTAAAAATACAGGAAGCGTTCAAAAACGATGAATGTTTTACAGATTTGGTTAAAGGTTTTTGCATGTTTCAAGGATCCCTGAAATTTTGCTTTTCTTAAAAGCATCGATACTGACACGCTTCTACGGTCAAAAATACCTAAATTATTCGTAGACAAAATAAACGATATCGATTAGGTTTTTAAAATTTACACAAATACAGTAAATTAGAACAAACCTCGTTTTTATTCTTCCCACGGGCTGTTTAAAAATTTACTGTACATCCCGCCTATTTTCTTCTCAATATTCGGTAGATGTATACTATATAGTAATCGCCAAAATTTAAAAGCTTTTCTGGCTTTCAAAAATTTTGCCGAAAACAATCCGATTACACCATGAAAATCAAACATGAGCGCATAAATGAAATCGCGGCAATTGGAGTGCGGCGGAATGAACCGTGATTTGAACAGTCGCATACATGGAGCGATGGTCCGACGAGTGTCATCACCAAAAAGTTGAACGTGTCCCATTTGCCGGCGTCGAGCAGCTCGCAGAAGTGGGTCGCGCGCGCCTTTTTTGCCTGCAAATTTATTTTTGAAAAAAACCATGTTTCGTTTCAACTCCCTTAGCAGGCAAAGATGATTCTCTACAATGGTTGTGGCTGCTGAATTTCTCATATCTTCTTTTCCGTCCTATCCTAGTGCCTTTTTCTGCGGTCATCTAACTGGCTTATCTAACTAGTGCAGGAATTTGAGGAATTTTTTTCGTATTTAAAAAAATGTGTTTTTCATAATGCGGTAATGCAAGCCACTCTTATTTTACCAATTTGCTCCCGCCAGTAGTGATTTAATTTATCCAAGACAAGCTTTTTCTAAAATTGAATTCAGAAGTCGATAATTTATTCTTATCAACGTTTCATAACTTTTTAAATTACGTGTTTCAAGAAATATCTTTTCGCCCGTGTCTAGAATTTTTCAATCTGCCAAAAACACGTTTTCTTTTTACCTTGCAGTTCCCCTTAATATGATATGCTTTTCTAGGGAAAATCTCATATTTTATGCCGAGTTTTACGCGATTTTCAAACCCAAATGGGTTTCAAAAAATTTCGTCTCGTCCCCATTTGAAAATCTTGCAATTCCTGATCTCGATTACAGTTCCTCTTCGAAAACTCGATTTTGTATTTTCCATTATACACGAAATGACGTACGGTCTGCAAGACGACCACCTCCATCTTCATGGGTCGAATCGTCGCCGAGCACGCCTCGATTTTCATCGCACTCTCACGACCAGATGGATGTTTCACCTCAATTACAGCCTTGAATTAAGCCGATGGCCAGAGTATGCAAGCAACGAGCGAAGGAACTCCGGGTTACGGAACGGCAAAAATATAGAAAAATTCAATAAAGCCACCCAAAGTTCCCAGGAGAAAACCATCAAAAAACGTCTTAAAATAATTCTAAAATTTTTTACACTTTTACACAATTTTTGGTTATAAAACGTCCATAAAAAATTTACAATTTCCGAAATTTTTGCCCTGATGGGGAAAGAGGTATAAATAATAGCTAGAAACGCCAAAATTATTTAGTGCAACTTATAAAAAAGAACTACAAACTACAATTGGCACCTTGTAGACGGCGCCGAAGCCGCCCTCGCCCAACTTCTTCACCACCTCCCAGCCGGCCACCTTCTCGCCAAGTTGCAGCTTCTGCACGGCGGCCACCATCGGAATCGGAGCGCCTGGAAAATCACCTGTTTTCGGTAAAAAATTAAGTTGGTGCTTTGTTGAAACATTGAATTGTTAATTCAGCTGCGAGCCAACTTTTGACTTTTTTCGAAACATTGTAATTTTCTGTAATTTGGTCAATTGTTTTACGAAGAAGAATGGCCCTGAATTTTTAAATTTTTCGAAACGTTACTCTTTTCGAACTGATCTCTGAATTTTCCCCTTATCAGTTGTGATTTTTTAGACTAAAATCTACAAAATAACGCTACCGTACCCTTTGGCTTTCCCCCCTCAGGAGATGGAGCTTCGGGAGATCCAGGGGACGCCGCTGCCGCCATCACTTTTCCTCGCGTAATCGAGTCGATTTAGGTGAATAAGAATAAGAAGAAGAACGAATAATCTGTTTCAAGTCTAGAATAAGAAACGCCGAGTGGCTGACAAGTATAAAATGCCTGCTTCAGCCCGTTCCAGCAATTTAGGGCGTAATTTCGATGCAAAGCATTGTTTTTCCGGGATTCAAATTCGCATTTGATAATGGACATTAATGCGCGAGCAAAACTTAATTTTCGTCGCCTCCTAGCCCCCCGTTATTGCACCAGAACAACTTCAGAATTTTTAGAAATTTTTTTTAGGGCTTCACCAAAAAAAATAGAATTTCCGACGGATGTACTTCTTAATGAACCCTCTTCTCCCCGTGAACGACAGAACTTTAAAGCATACCAAAATGTAGTCGTCAATTTTAGCAAAATGATATGAAATAAATCGTAAATACTATAGTAATGATAGAACAATAAAAATTGGATTTCTAGACCCAATCGGGAAGGCTGCAGAGGCATTCAAACAATATGTTTCACGCCTGCCCGATGCTCCGAACTAGCATTAAAACATAATCGATTATTCGTGATGGTATATTTATTTTTCTCTACATCAGGCAACCGTCAACTAAAAAATCGACAATTCCATTTTTCGGTCACCGGAGAGTGCGGTACTCGGTTTTCCTGCTATTTGTGGCTGTTTATTTTTATTTATTTCGAGCTGAAAATTCTATTGATTACATATTAGTATATTTTTTGGTTGCTCGATCGATTGGTATAAAAAATGTCGAAAAATATCGGAAATTCCGAAAAACCTTTTTCCCGGCCCCTGATCTGTTCTCACCGTCCAAAAATCGCCGTTTTTCTTAAAAAAATCAGTTTCACTTTTATCTGACCGTAAGTAGGTGGACTTGGAAAGGACCAAATAATTTTTTCGTCTTTTTTTGAAATTCATCCCGCTAGAAAACATGTAATAAAAGCCCAAAGTTATGTCGTCTGTCAATTATCCCTAAAACATTTATTTTTTTTTTCGTGCTTCGGCCATCCCAAAAGACCGAATATTTACGCTGACTTAAAAATTTAATGTTTACACTATTTTTTTACTTCTCCTACTTCGCGCCGTTTCTATTGAAAGAAATAATATTTATTACATTCAATTCAAATTGAAGAAACAACAGAATTGATGCACTAATGACGGGTAGACTTTTTCGGGGTAAACTTGTCATTCAACTCGACGACATTCTTGTATTTCCATATTGGGTGGTCCACAGATGAGATCTGGCATTTGTGCGGCGCTTTGCAATCTGAAACTTTTCAAATTTTCATGAAAACAGGAGCTTTCGCGTTAGCGGGGGTGTTGCATCAGCGATTCAACTTTTTAAATTTATTCTCGAAGTTTTCTAATCGAAATCGAGTAAGTGTTTCTAAAACATTTTTTGCTATTTCTAAGCGTAAAACTTTACAAATTTTTATTAAAAAATACAAAAGATCGATGTGTCAACCAAAAAAAACACATTTCCGAAAAAAATTAACATTTTCAGGAACGTTTAGCGTTTTTACATCGGTTTTTCATTCTAGTTAAATTTTATTTTTAGTTCCCCCCGAGCAACAACTATTTATTTTTTATGCCAAATTTTATTTTAAAGGGACGGTGTCAGCAACACGGTCAGAATTTTGGGCTTTCAAAAATTAAAACTACCGTAATAATCGGAGAGTAGCTCGACGATGAAGATACGATTTGCGCCCTTACGTAGAAATGGGGATGGCACGTAGAGGGTACGCTGAAAATATCGATTTTTATAGGGACTGGGAAGTGAAACCGTGTCAATAGTTTTCATATGTCTAGCACTTAAACGTTAAAGAATAAAGAATGACCAGTTAAAATACAAATTTTTAAATGTTTCAGAAAAAATTTATAATTAATGTATTTATTTTAATGTATTGTAAGAATTTTTCATAATTAATGTATTTATTTCCACCAATTCAGAAGTCTAATTTTACCACAGCTTTTTTTTTGTTTTTCAGCCCTGCTTTTCAGAAAAACATGTTTTTCACTTTAAAAATCATTAGAATTGCATTAAAAATACAATTAAAATAAGCAACTAAAAATCAATAAAAAATTAAGTTTCAGACAAACCTGCGGACCGACATTCCAATATCTTCCCAAATGATGGCCGTTAATCAGGATAAACCCCTTGCCCCAGCCCGAAAAATCGATAAACGTATCGCCGACGTCGACGTCGTTCACCGAGAAGACACCCGTGTAGACACCTTCCAGGATTTTCTGAAAAATACAACATTTCCTCTATTTTAACCTAACTTAATTATAAATAACTAAACGTACATTATTTTGGCCATTAGCCCTCAATTTCTTCATTCTTTTGAGCGTTCGTTCGACCCATTTCTGCCCTTTCCCAATTCGAATACTGCACGTCGTCCAATTTCGTACTTCAGTACCGTCGAGCAGTACCGGGCCAAGGATTCCCTAAAAAAATGGTTGAATTTACCTTAATTTAATTTGTAGAAATTTTCGGTATCAAACGGTTCTTTCTTTTAAGCTTTTTAACGTATTTTAAAAGTTTTTTTAATTTTGAATTATGACTGCGCCCTGATCGGATTACCTATTTAAAACTTTTCTGATTTTTATTAACCTTTGAAACATGCTTTTCAAATTTTATTGCCGTAAATAGGCAAAGCAGTAAATATCAGCATTATGCTTTTTTACCGAGTTTCGAAACACGAACATTTTTTATTCAATTCAAATTTGGATCTAATGACCGTAAAAATTTGAACCCCGCCTATTACTATTCGCTTAAAATCGATAAAATATGGTGTAAAAAAAATATAAATTGCGTTTCCTTCTCTGGCGAAGAGTTATTAATTTTATCTTCGTGTGCGCGATACAGTAAAAGTCTGAAACCTTAAATTTCCAAAGAAAAAAAAATGTAATTCGAATTATTTTGAATTTTATCTTAACGATTTTTGTTGGCATTTCAAATTAGATCTTTTGGAGCGCGTATATTAAAATGACTCCTGTTTCTAGTACTTAATAACCGCTAGAATATAGCGAAATTGATAAAATACATAAAAAAAACATAAAATTGATATTTTCAGGCAGACAAAAGCACCTACAATTTAAAATCATTGAATAAAATTTAGGGTAAGCAATCCCGAAAAATTTTGGAACATTTTTACACAAAACTGCTATTGGTCAGCATTTTCTTGAAAATCGCGTTTTGTACATTATTTTAACGCTGAAAACATAATGAAATTTATTTGGGAATATGATGTTTTGAAGGGCTGTTTTTGATTACTTTAAATGCAGCATTCCATCAAAAATTTCCTACAGTACGCCTATAAACTTATAAAATTCCGCCCATTACGCGACGATACGCATCAACACGAGCGGGCCATACCCCCAGTCTTACCAAATTTTTCGGGTCAGCAAATGCTAAACAGCAACAGTAGAGTTGCGGCAAAAGCTGATAACGCCGGTGTACTAAAGGGGAGGGGGTGAGCTTGAATAAAACAGCACAAAACCGCCACTTTCCGCCGTCCAAACGCAGCTTCTCAACTTATTAAGTATCATTCTAAAGGTATTATCACCGGCTGCAACCCCTGGATTCTTTCAATTCCTAAAAAAACCACATTTTAGCAAAATAATGTTTCAAAAAAGCTTTTTGAAACGGAAAAATGGGTAGCTAATTCGTAGTTGCTTTGTAACGGCTTTCCAAAAAAATTGGTACCAAATTTTCTTCAATTTCGAATACTTTTCTAGATATATTGAAATACACAATCACTCAACTCAACTCAACACGTTATTGCAATCGCAACAGTTTTCCGCCCCTTCAAATATTTTGAAACCTTTATGTCTAATTTTTCGCGAGAATCAACTATAATAAAAAAGTAGTGGTGTCTGTGTGTGTGTGTGTGTGTGTCTGTCCGGTCCGGATTCAACTCGAAGGGGAAAGGAGCTAGAGCTTAGCTCTCTTCGGATTCGGATAGAGCGTGGTCAGAAACCCCAAAACTGATAAAAAAATTATGAAAAAGTTTTAATTTAAATTATTAAAATTAACTTTTAAAGTGGCGCCTTATATAAAACGAGTGGGGCCCTCTCCTGGAGGCCACGCCCTTTCCCTTCGCCCCTCTTCCCCAGGCCCCTTCGCGCGCCCAGATCGCTTTCTTAAATTAGTTTAATACTTTTAATACTTTTTAATTATGTTAATTTATTATTTAAATCATTTAAAGTATCGGGATGGAATCCAAGTAGTTTTTGAAGGGGATTTCAGCCATGGGGGGTATCTGAAGCCATCAGGAGGGTATTTGAGGTAGTTTTGAAGGGGATTTCAGCCATGGGGGTAACTGTAGCCACGAGGTAGGTATTGCCATGAAGGCATCAGGTAAGTGGTAGGGGATGAAATGTGGTGGTGTATAATATGGAGGGTAGCTCGAAAGTTCAGCCGGTTACAGTGTCGCGAAGGGTTACAACTGGCTGGTTTACCTATACTAAAAAATTTCAGTAAGAATGGCTGATGTC